CCCCATAGGGCCCAGGGCAGGATCCCAAGGCAATATCCCAGTTCCCCACAAGACCCAGAGCAATATCCCAGTGCCCCACAGTCCCCACAGGAGGATCCCAGCGCCCTCAGGGCAGCATCCCAGCACCCTGGGCAGGGTCCCAGGGCCCCACAGGCCCTAAGGCAGGATCCCAGCAGCCTCAGGGATTTGGGAATCCCCTGTGCTCCCCCTGGCAGCCCCCCCCATCACCCCCTGGCATGGCGGCTGCTCAGAGCCGGGCGTACGGGACAGCCCCCCCGCCTTCCAACCCTTGTTTCCCATCCCTTCCCCGTTCCCTCAGATGACTCCGGCGACGAGTCGGTGTCGCAGACGGACAAGACAGAGCTGCAGAACACGCTGCGGATTCTCTCCAGCAAGGTGGAGGATCTGAGCACCTGCAACGACCTGATCGCCAAGCATGGCACGGCCCTGCAGCGCTCGCTCAGTGAGCTCGAGGCCCTGCGCCTGCCCCCCGAGAGCACCGACAAAATCAAGCAGGTCAACGAGCGGGCCACGCTCTTCCGCATCACCTCCAACGCCATGATCAACGTGAGGCCGCTTCCCAAGGGAAAACTGGTGGGAAAACCAGCGGGAAGCACTCTCACCATCCCCCACAACCACTCGTGTTTGGGTTTGGTTTTGTCCCCGCAGGCCTGCAGGGATTTCATGCTGCTGGCGCAGACGCACGGGAAGAAGTGGCAGAAGTCACTGCAGCAGGAGAGGGATCAGCGGATCCGGCTGGAGGAGACACTGGAGCAGCTGGCAAAGCAGCACAACCACCTGGAAAGGGCGTTCCGGGGGGCCACGGTGCTCCCTGCTGGCACACCCGGCACCGGCAGCTCTGGGAAAGGTGGGGTAGGACAAGGCTGCTTTCCCTGAGCTTCCCTTGCTCCGCTGATCCCAAGGGGAGGGGCTGTCCCGTGTCACCTTGTGTAGCTGAGGGATTTTGGCACTTAAAACTGGCTCCAAAGTGGCCCATCTGAGCCTTGCCTGTGTGCCCCCTGCCTGCTGGTGACAGGGGCCTCCCAGTGTACCACTGGTGGGAAAGTGGGAGCAATGTCCTTTCCTTAACAACACTGTCCCCTTCCAAGATCTGTGCTGCCCCTCCAAGGGTGACATGAGTGACGAGGATGACGACAACAACGAGTTCTTTGATGCCCCCGAGATCTTCCCCACGCTTGACATGATGGGGCACAAGTGAGTTTTGGGGGGCTTTGGGGGCGTCTCCACTGCCTGGACCTTCTTGGAAATGATCACCCTCTTTTCCACTCTTTCCAGGAGAACAGGGAGCAACATCAGTGGCACCAGCAGCGACATCAGCCTGGATGAGCAGGTGGGATGGGGGTTTATGCCTTTGGGGCGGGAACAGGGCTGGGCTTGGGGTCCCCAGATTCCCAGAGAGGGGTTTTGGGAGGGTCACAGGGATGGAACAGCCCTTGGAGAAATCAGGACTGGGCCAGGGGTCCTCAGATTTCCACAGAGGGGTTTTGGGGGGGTCACAGTGATGGAACAGCCCTTGTCTCCCCCCTCCCCAGTACAAGCACCAGGTTGAGGACACCAAGAAGGAGAAGAGAACCCGTATTCCCTACAAACCCAACTACAGCCTCAACCTCTGGAGCATCATGAAGAACTGCATCGGGAAGGAGTTATCCAAAATTCCCATGCCGGTGAGTGTGGATACTTCTGACGAGTGGGCTTGGGGACCCCAGAAAGCCCCTTTTTTGACCCATTTTTTCCTTGAAGGTGAACTTCAATGAGCCACTGTCGATGCTCCAGCGGCTGACAGAGGACCTGGAGTACCACGAGCTCCTGGACCAGGCGGCCAAGTGCGAGAATTCCCTGGAGCAGCTGTGCTATGTGGCTGCCTTCACTGTCTCCTCCTACTCCACCACCGTCTTCCGCACCAGCAAACCCTTCAACCCACTCCTGGGGGAGACCTTCGAGCTGGATCGGCTGGAGGAGAGCGGGTATCGCTCCCTCTGCGAGCAGGTGTGGCCAGCCCCGCTCTCCCAGCCTCTCTTATTCCCTCGGGATGGCCAGCACTGAGCTGTTCCCAATCCCTGTCCAGGTGAGCCACCACCCCCCGGCCGCTGCCCACCACGCCGACTCCAAACACGGCTGGACGCTCCGCCAAGAAATCAAGATCACCAGCAAATTCCGAGGGAAATATCTCTCCATCATGCCTTTAGGTAAGCATCCTAGGATTTTGGGAGCCGCCCAAGGTTCCGGGTGTGGTTCCCAACACAGCTTTCCCCACCCTCAGGTACCATCCACTGCGTCTTTCACTCATCCGGCAACCACTACACGTGGAAGAAGGTGACCACCACAGTGCACAACATCATCGTGGGGAAGCTGTGGATAGACCAGGTGGGAAATCACAGATACGGGAGTGCCCTGGTCATTTACGGATCCCTTGGGAATGGAGTGTGGGTGGATCTGACTGTCATCTTTCCTCTGCAGTCGGGTGAGATCGAGATCGTCAACCACAAGACAGGCGACAAGTGCAACCTCAAGTTTGTCCCTTACAGCTACTTCTCCCGGGATGTGGCAAGGAAGGTAGGGAGAGCAGGGAAGCGCGGGACATCCCAGGGTGCCTGCGTCCTGATCCGTGCCATCCCCTCTCCCTTCAGGTGACTGGGGAGGTGACAGACCCCTCGGGAAAGGTGCACTTTGTCCTGCTGGGCACGTGGGATGAGAAGATGGATTGCTACAAAGTCCAGCTGGGAACAGGGGACAACGGAGCTGAGGCCCGGCCACGAGCCCACGAGTCCGAGGACAGCCGGGTGCTGCTGTGGAAGCGGAACCCGCTCCCGTGAGTCGGGAATACGGGATGAGGCATCTCCCGGGAGCGGAGACGCGGGGCTGGCGCTGAGTTCCACTCCTTCCCGTGCCGCAGGAAGTACGCGGAGAACATGTACTACTTCTCAGAGCTGGCGCTGACCCTGAACGCCCCAGAGAGTGGGACGGCTCCCACGGACAGCCGGCGGCGTCCTGACCAGCGGCTCATGGAAAACGGGCGCTGGGACGAGGCCAACGCTGAGAAGCAGCGGCTGGAGGAGAAACAGCGGCTCTCCCGCAAGCGCCGTGAGGCCGAGGCTGCCCGCGCCTCCGAGGACGGTAAGGAAGCGGTGTCCCCTCCTCTCCGGAGGCCCCCCAGGTGGCCCCCAGGCCCTGACCCCCTCTGTGCCCCCCAGGGACCCCCTGTGATCCCTACAAACCGCTGTGGTTCGAGCGGAAGAAGGATCCGGTGACACAGGACCTGGCACACGTCTACAAGGGGGGGTATTGGGAGAGCAAGGAAAAGCAGGACTGGAGCCTGTGCCCGGATATTTTCTGAGCCCAGCGAGGAGGAGGAGCAGTGGGATGGGGGGGGATGAAGGCCAGGACCCCCCCCTTCCGTGTCTGTCTTAAGCGCCCGCTGTCCCTTCGCTGGCCGGGCTTTGCCTTAGCCCACCCAAACTGACCCTGGGGAGCGGGAGCCACCACTGCCCCCCCAGAGCCGGGCTGGAACGGGGGGTTCCCTCATCCCACCCGCTTCCCTGGCACCCTGGGGAGGGGGGCACGGCCACCCCCAGGGTGGGGGGTCCCTTGGGTGAGCCCAAGGCTGGCCTTGGTCTCCCCCCCCCTCCCCGCTTTTCTTCCCGTCCGCCCCCAGGAGTTTGGGTGCTTTTGGGGTACGGGAGGGGCCAGACTCCCCCCCCAGCCTGTTCTATAGGTGTATATTATATATATGTAGAGAGCAGTCGGGGTCCCCTGCTCCCCCTGCCCACGGGGAGCCTTCCCCAGCCCCTGCTTTGGGGGGTCCCCCCCTCCCTGGGATCTCCCCCACTCACGGGGACCCCCCACGAGGTGCCTTCCCTGTAGGTTTAGGGTGGGCTGGGGGAGCTGTCCTGGGTTTTTGGGGGGGTTTGCACCCCCAAACACTACAGGGGTGGGGGAAGGCAGGGTGGGGGTCTCTGCATCCCCAAACCTGAAATCGGGGGCTTTTGATGCCTTTTTTTTTTTTTTTTCCTTTTTTGGGTGTTTTTTTTTTTTTTTTTTTTTGTCCCAAGAAAAAGAACTAAATTAAAAATCTGTGAATGCCCCAACCCGCCTGTGCTTGCTCTGGGAGTGTGGGGATCCCCTGCAGCTGGTCCTGGGGGGACCCCTTTCTCCTGTGGGGCCCTGATCCCTGCAGGGGATCCTTGCACCCCAAAAAAAGGGGGTGGCAGCACCCAAATAGGGACTTGAACCCTTTTCCTGGGGGTCTCCAGGTGCTCCCTCGTCACCCAGGTCCTGCTGCCCCAGGGTGCCTGGGGGAAAGTGGGGTGTGTCCCCCTACATTCCTTGCTGGATTTGGTGTGCTTGGGAGCCCCTCAGGCATCTCCTAACCCATGCAGAAGGTCCTGGGTTCCACCTCCGGTGACTTTCTGGGGTCACCTGGTTGGGGGGATCCCTTGCGGGCACTTCCGGGAGTCCCGGGGGGTGACATGGGGGGGGGGGGCCCTCGCCTGTTCTGATTGGCCAGCTGGCTTTGGAGAAGTGTTGTGATTGGTGAGTGCCGTGGTGTCGCCGATTGGTTGAGTCCCTGCCCTACCTTATCCTGATTGGTTGGAGTGACCGTCCTCCGATGTTTTCCTGCCCTCCCTTCATCGGTGAGTGCTGATTGGCCAGTTGGTTTGGGGGATGCTGATTGGCTGGCTGGTTGCATCTGGGTCAGACCCAGCCAATGGGAGAGCACAAGTTGGCCCTGATGCCTCGCCGCTGCCACACCCTCCCTCCCCTCAGGAACGCTCCATGGGACCTCTCTGTGACCCCCGTGGGACACCCTGTCCCCGAGGTACTGCCCGCTGCCCCCGGGGATGGCTTGGCGTGGCTGAGGATGTGTGTGACCCCATATCCCACCCCTCGTGTGCCCCCACGTCCCACCCCATGGCCACCAGACACATTCCTCCAGCTCTGATCTGGGGGGTTTATTGGGCCCTCCCCAGCCCTGCCACCACCCCTGAGGGGCCTCCTGTGGCCGAGGGTCTCACAAGAGCCCTGTTCCCAGCTCCTTCGCTCCAGCTGTTCGCTCTGAGCCCTAATGGTGGCAGAGAGGTCAGGCAGAGGGCAGCTGATGAGGATCTGGGGGGTCTCCTTCTGCCTGGAGGCCCTGTTATCGGGATGACAACATCATGACGAACTCTGTGGGGCAAAGAGGGGGGCGTGAGAGGAGGGGACCCCACTTCAGTCCCCTGGAAGGGGCAGGGGGGTTCCCTCACCATCGAAGTCCACATGCCCATCCCCGTTGAGGTCCACGTCTTGCAGGATCTCGTCCACCTCCTGCGCCTTGAGCTGCTCCCCAAGCAGGGCCGCGATGGCCTCGCGCATCTCGGCCGTGCTGATCTCCCCGTCTCCATTCATGTCAAACTGCAGGCTCAGGGTCACCTCCGGCCACGGCCACCACCAGCCTCCCGGGGCCACCATCCCCTCTGTGCTTGGGGTCACCCCCATGGTCACTGTTCCCTTATGGTCACTGTCCGCTCCCTGCCTGTGGTCACTCGATGGTTGCTGTCACGCTGTGGTCCCTGTCCCTTCCATGTCTTTGGTCACCCCTCATGGTCACCATGCCCTCACTGTCACCATCTCCTCATGATCTCCTCCTGGTCACTCCCATGGTCACCATCCCTCCATGGCCACCATGCCCCCACAATCTTCTCATGGTAAGTGTCCCCTTCATGTCTTTGGTCACCCCCATTGTCACCATCACCCCAAGATCTTCCCATGGTCACTGTCCCCTCCATCCTGTGGTCTTTCCTGTGATCACTGTCTGCCCATGGTCACTGTCCCCTCTTTACCCTCCTGGTCACCATCTCCCCATGGTCACTGTCCTCTCCATGTCCCCATCATCACTGTCTCTCCACCACAGTCTTTCCAGGGTCACTGTCCCCACCGTGCCTGTGGTTGCCTCCTGGCAGTGGTGTCCCCACGGTCCCCCCGTACCTCCCGGAAGGCGATCTTGAGCTCCCTCACGCCCACCATGTGCGCTGTCTCCTCCCGCAGCTTCGGCCCCATCATCTGCACAAAGTCCTCGAAGTCCACACGCCCGCCCACTGCAGTGGCAAAGGGGACACCCTCAGCTCCCCCTGGCCCCCCTGGCCCCCTCCCGGCCCCCCAGGCCCCCGCTCACTCCTCATCTTGATGTGCTGGGAGATCTCAATGAGCTCCATTTCAGTGGGCATGTACCCCAGCGTGCGCATGCACTCGCCCAGGTCCTTGTAGCTGATGTACCCATCCTGGTCCGTGTCAAACTCCTTGAAGGCGTCCAGCAGCTCTGGACACATGGACACTGTCAGGTGCGGGCGGTCACCCAGGCACCGCAGCACCCTGGAGCAGGTCAGTTCTTGGATGTGGTGCCATGGCACGCAGTCCCGTGGCAGTGTCCCCGTGGCCTGTGTCCCCATGGTGCTGCACCCCTTGGCAGGTCCCTCCATGGTCATGTCCCCGTGGCAGACTGTTCCCTGAGGCCATGCCCCCGCCCGTCTTCCTAAGCCCCCATTCCCGCCCTGTCCCCCCTGCTCACCATCCAGCTCCTCCGGCGACAGCTCCCGCTCCTGGATGGGACACAAGGGGGGGGTGACAGCAGAATGAGACCTGGCTCTGTGTCCCCCCCAACCCCCAGTGTCACCTTTGCTAAGCATGGGTCAAAATTAACTCTGGCGAAGGATTAGCAGGATTGGAGGCAAAGCCCCGCCCTGCCCCGTGCCTGCGCCACTGCCCGCCCTCTCCTGGTCCTCTTGTCCCCTCCCCTGTCACCGACGCCGGGCTGGCTCAACCCGGGACCCCCAGGATCCGGACAGGATGTGGGTGCTGCCGAGGGGGCTTTGTAATCCAGAGGAGGCAGGGCAGGATGTGTCCCCCACCCAGAGCTTGGCTGCCCCTGTCCATGGTGTCCCCCTGGGGTGTCCTCTCTGTCCCCATGGCCCTGGGGGGTCCCCAAAGCCAACCCTAGTGCCCCATGCCCCCTCTCTCCCCAGGGTTCCAGAGTGTCCCTGAGCTTGTCCCCCGTGCTCCATGTCCCCTCTATCTTCAGGGTTTCAGAGGGTCCCTGTCCCCATTCCCACTGTCCCCATGTCTCCATCCCCAGGGTCCCAGAGTGGCCCTGACCATGTCCCCAGTATCCAGTGTCCCCTCCATCCCCAGGGTCCTGGAGTGTACTCCAACCCCATCCCCACTGGCCCCCCTACCCCCTCCATATACAGGGTCCTGGACTGCCCCTGTCCCCATTTCTGCTGTCCCCATGTTCCCATCCCCTCTGTCCCCACTATCCCCATGTCCCCTCCATCCCCAGCATCCCAGAGTGTCCTTACTATGTCCCTGATGTCCCTGTCCCCCCGCTCCTTCCCATGTCCTGGACTGTTCTTGTCCCCATCCCCACAGTCCCCACATCCTCTCCATTTCCAGGCTCACAGAGTGTCCCCATGTCCCTATCCCCACTCTCCCCAAAGTCCCTGTCCCCCCTCCATCTGCAGGGTCCCAGAGTGTCCCTGACCATGTCCCCAGTGCCCCGTGTCCCCTCCACCCACAGGATCCTGGACTGTCCCTGTCCTCATCGCCACTATCTCCATGTCCCCATCCCCAGTGTCCCCTTTTCCTTCCATCCGCAGGCTCCTGGACTGTCCCTGTCCCCATCCCCACCGTCCCCACTGTCCCCACATCCCCTCCATCCCCGGGCTCCCTCCATCCCTGCACTCACCCCCATGTCCCCCTGTTCCCTTTGTCCCCGTCCCCCCCCGTGTCCCCACCTTGCCGAAGACGGTGTTGAGGAAGGGGGAGTAGGTCTTGGTAGCCGTGGCGTGGGGGTCCCCGGAGCCCTTCTTGCCGCTCTTCTGCCCATGGCTGCCGTGCCGAGACTCGGAGCCGGAATTCTTGTGGGCCAGGGGCTCCTCGAGGGCTTTGGGGGGTTTCTCCCCCGCCTCGCCCCCCCCTTTCTCCTTCTGCGGGGGCTCCGTATCCTTGGGGGTCCCCTTGTCCCCGCGGGTGCGTGGCATGTGGTCGGGGCCGGGTGGGCAGCAGGGAGCGGGACCCCGGGATGGCCGAGCCAGAGAAAGAAGCCGGGAAATCCTCTTACACGGCCCCCTCCTTGACCCCCCCACGCGCCTTCCACCCCCCCGCGTGGGTTCCTGGGCCCGGCAGGGCAAAGCCAATTAGGGGTGATTAACGGCAGGAAACAGCCACGACCACCACCGGCCCGGGGCAGGGCCACATGGCCACCGCGCCACGGCCACCAGAGGGGTCCCCACACATCTCCCGGGGGTCACCCACCGAGGACCTTGCGAGGGGAGTCCAGTGGTGACACCTCAAGGCCACTGCACTGTCCCCAGACCAACCCACATTCCCAGTGGTGACACCCCAAGGTCACGCCACCCCTGTCCCCTCACTTGGAGCCTCCCCCTAAGCTCTCCCCACCCCTGAGGTAGGTCCTACATTATTTACCACCCTGTGCCACCTGCCACTGTCACCCTGTGCCACCCACTGGCGCTGTCCACGGGGACCGTACCTCAGGGTGACCCTGTCCCACAGGTAACCTTGCCCACGGGGAATGTACCCCATGGGTGACTGTCCAGAGGGACCCTGTCCCAAGGGTGATCCTGTCCATGGGTGACCCTGTCCATGGGAGGACCCTGCCCACGGGTGATCCTGTCTATGGGGTGATCCTGTCTATGGGGTGATCCTGTCCATGGAGTGTCCCTGTCCATGGGGTGACCCTGTCCCACGGGTGCCCCTGTGCCACGGGTGACCCTGTCTATGGGGCGATCCTGTCCATGGGGTGCCCCTGTCCCGTGGGTGACCAAACCAGAGGTGTCCCTGCCCAGGGAGTGCCCCTCCCTGCCCGGCTGATCCGCAGGGTCCCGGTGCCCCCCGTCCACCCCTGTCCCGGTGCGCACGCGCGGGGCGGCTCCGGTCACTTCCTGCCCCGCCCCCGCCGCCGCCGCCGACCCCGGCACCGGCACCGGGCACCGACCCGGGAACCCCCGGGAACCCTCCGGGCACCGACCCACTGGTGAGTGTGAGCACCGACCCGTGGGGTGCCCCCCGGCCGCCTTCCCGGGGGGGCAGCCCCGTCCCTGTCCCCGTTCCCGGCGGGGCCACCCCCGTCCCTGTCCCCATCCCAGTCCCCATCCTGTCCCCAACCCTGACCTCATCCTTGCCCCTGAACCCATCCCTCTTCCCACGCCCAGCGGGGCCACCTTTGTCCATGTCCCCGTCCCTATCCCCATCCCCGTCCCTGTCCCCATCCCTACCCCTGTCCCCATTCCTATCCCCGTACCGAGTAGGGCCACCACCAGCCCATTCCCGACCTTTTGCATCCCCTCCTTGTCCCTGTCCCCATCCATGTCCCTCATCACTGTCCCCGTACCAAACGAGGCCACCACCATCCTCATTCCTGAGCACTCCTTCGTCCCTATCCCTGTCCCCATCACTATCCCCATACCCAGCAAGGCCACCCCCGTCACCATCCCTGTCCCTCTCCTTGTCTGCATCCCTATCCCTGACCCCGTCCCTGACGCCTTATCCCACAGGGCCACCCCTTTTCCCACCCCTGTCCCCATAGCCAGCCAGGGCCACCCCTGTCCCCATCTCCATCGCTGTCCCCATCCCATCCCTGTCCCCTGACCCACTGGGCTGTCCCTGTCCCCCGTTCTATCCCCCCCCCTCTACCCAGGGGGGCATCCTTGTCCCTATGCCTGTCCCCATCCCGGGTGACCTGTCCCCCTCAGAGCCCCCCTTCCAGGGGTGCCCCCTGAGCCTTCCCCTGCATGGCCAGGCCGGGAGGTGGGTGTGTGGGGTGTGTGTCCCCATTCTCGTTTCTGGGAGTGGCTGAGCCGCCCTTTATCCAGGGCAGAGGACAGTGACAAGCCCGGAGTAGGTGCCACTTCCTTGGTGGCCCTGCCCCTTGTTTTAGGGTGTCCCCGTGTGCCTGAACGTGACTCCAGGGACTCCTCCCCAGCCATGTCGTTCCGGAAGGTAGTGCGGCAGAGCAAATTCCGGCACGTGTTCGGGCAACCAGTGAAGACGGAGCAGTGCTACGATGACATCCGTGTGTCCCGTGTCACCTGGGACAGCACCTTCTGCGCCGTCAACCCTTCCTTCGTCGCCATCATTGTGGAGGCCAGTGGCGGCGGCGCCTTTCTCGTCCTCCCCTTGCACAAGGTGACACTAGAGGAGTGACACTGGGGAACCGGGGAGGTCTGTGCTGGTGGGCGACACCTGTGATGTCCCTTTGTCCCCAGACCGGCCGCATCGACAAGTCGTACCCCACCGTGTGCGGCCACACGGGCCCTGTCCTCGACATCGACTGGTGTCCCCACAATGACCACGTCATTGCCAGCGGCTCTGAGGACTGCACTGTCATGGTGAGGGGGTGCTGAGGGGAGCTGGGGGGCATCCCTGTCTCCATCCCCGCTTTGCTCAGTGTCCCCCCGTCCCCTCAGGTGTGGCAGATCCCGGAGAACGGGCTGAGCCAGCCGCTGACGGAGCCGGTGGTGGTCCTGGAGGGCCACTCCAAGCGTGTCGGCATCGTCACCTGGCACCCCACTGCCCGCAACGTGCTGCTCAGCGCAGGTATGGGGGGGCTGCAGCAGGGACACGGAGGTGGGGGGGTCACGTGGCCAAGGTGACCCCCATGGTGCCCCCCAGGCTGTGACAACGTGGTGCTGATCTGGAACGTGGGCACGGCGGAGGAGCTTTACCGGCTGGAGGGGCTGCACCCCGACCTCATCTACAGCGTCAGCTGGAGCCGCGATGGCTCCCGCTTCTGCACCGCCTGCAAGGACAAGAACGTCCGTGTCATCGACCCCCGCCGTGGCACAGTGGTGGCTGTAAGTGTCCCCACCCCTCCGGGGCACTGTCACCGTGCCCGTGTCACTGGGGCACCGTCCTGCACTGCTTCTTATGGGAGAATGCCCTGCTCACTGCCCTGGTCCTCTGGTGGGCTCTGTTGTCCCTTGGGTGCCCCTGTACCTTGTCCTCGTCCCACAGTGCTTCCCTTTCTCCCATGTCTCTGGGGTGCTCTTGTCTCCTGGTTCCCCACTGTCCCTTTGTGGCATCTGTCCCTTGGTGCTTCTCACTCTCCCATGTCCCTTGGGTGCTACTGTCTCCTGCTTCCTAACTTTCTTCCTTGCTGCTCCCTGCCCTTGTCCCCTGCCACTCCCCATGGTCCCCTGTTTTTTGGGTGACCCTGTCCCCTCCTCCCTGTCCTTGTCGCGTGGTGCTCCCCAATGTCCCATGCACTCCCTGTCTTTGTCCTCTGCTGCTCCCTGCCCTTGTTCCCTGCTCTTCCCCACCGTTCTGTATCCTTTCGGCACTCCTGTCCCCTGTTCTTGTCCCCTTGTGCTTCTCACTGTCCCTTGTGCCCTGCCTTTGTCCCCTGCTGCTCCCCAATGTCCTCTGAGACACACCCTGTCCCCTGCTCCCTGCCCTTGTCCCCTGATGTCCCCTGCTGTCCCCTACCCTCACCGTGGTGCTGTGGTCCCACTGACCCCACCGTCATCCCCAAGGAGAAGGAGCGGGCGCACGAGGGGGCGCGTCCCATGCGCGCCATCTTCCTGGCCGACGGCAAGATCTTCACCACTGGCTTCAGCCGCATGAGCGAACGGCAACTGGCGCTGTGGGACATGGTGAGCAGCACCCCAGGGGTCCCGCAGGACCGCCGTGGGGGTCCCTACGTGCCTCACACCCCCCACCCCACCGCAGGAGAACCTGGAGGAGCCCATGGGGCTGCAGGAGCTGGACTCCAGCAACGGGGCTCTGCTGCCCTTCTACGACCCCGACACCAGTGTGGTCTATGTGTGCGGCAAGGTACGGTAACCCCCCACCCTGCTGATGACCCCCTCAAACCCCAGGACCCCCCTAACAACGTGTCCCCAGGGAGATTCGAGCATCCGGTACTTCGAGATCACAGAGGAGCCTCCCTACATCCACTTCCTCAACACCTTCACCAGCAAGGAGCCCCAGCGGGGAATGGGCTGGATGCCCAAACGTGGGCTGGATGTCAGCAAGTGTGAGATCGCCAGGTGGGTGTGGGGGACATGGGGGACAAGGTGAGGGAGCCTCTCAGTGCCCTCAGGCTCCCCTGTGACCCCCTGTGCCCCACCGGCAGGTTCTACAAGCTGCACGAGCGCAAGTGTGAGCCCATCATCATGACGGTGCCAAGGAAGGTCTGTGCAGACAGGGGGTGTGGAGTGGGGGGTCTGGGCAGGGGGAGGTAGATGGGTGGGGGTCCCCATCGGGCTGGGAGGGGTCCCTGGGCAGGATATGGGGGCTGAGTGGGGGACCCTATGGGGTTTGTGTGGGGTCCCTGGGCAGGAAAGGGGGATTGGATGGGGGTCCCCATGGGGTTTGTGTTGTCCCTGGTGACTGGGTGGGGGTTACCCCATGGGGTTCATGGTGAATCTCCTGGCAGGACATGATGTGTGATTGGAGGTCCCTGTGGGGGCCGTGTGGGGGTCCCTGAGTGTTACACACTGCCTGGGAGTGTGGGCTCCCCCCGAGTGTCCCCCCACGCTGACTGCGGACGGGGGGCAGTCGGACCTGTTCCAGGATGACCTGTACCCAGACACGGCAGGCCCGGAGGCAGCCATGGAGGCGGAGGAGTGGGTGGCGGGGCGCACGGCAGGGCCAGTGCTGGTGTCCCTGCGCCAGGCCTACGTGCCCCCCAAGCAGCGCGACCTCAAGGTGAGCCGGCGGGGGCTGCTGCATGACGGCCGTGCCCCCCCTACCACCGTCGCCACTGGGGCCACCACAGTGCCCCCCACGCCCCCGGCGGCCCCGCACCCCCGGCTCAGCACGCCCCGGCCCTGGGAACACTGGGAACCAGCACCACCACGGTGAGGGGGAGTGGGCGAGGTGGGGGTGGGAGGGGACTGCGGGAGGTGGGGTCTACATGGGTGTGGTTGCTGTGGGATGGACCAGGGGCTGGGTGGGGAATGTGGTTGGTGGGGCAATGGGATGGGTGTGGTTTCTGCATGTGGGGCTGTGAACTGTGTGTGGTCTGTGTGGATGGGGCCATGGAGTGGGTGTGGTCTGTCAGTGTAGCTGTGGAGCAGTGTGGTCTCTGGGTGGAGCTGTGACATGGGTGGGATATTCAGAGTGGGCATGGCAGCAGCCACGTGGGTGGGCAGGGCCATTTGACACAATGGGCGTGGTCATAGTGGGTGTGTCTAAATTTGGGTGGGGCAGGAGGGTCTGCAATAGGGGTTGAGTGGGGCCTGGGGGGGGTGTGGTTTGGATGTGACCAGGGTGGGAGCAGAGGCACAGCCAGGCTGGACCGATGGGCCGGGCTGAGTGTGGTGGGTGTGGCCGTGGATGGAGTTCTGATGGCCGTGTCCCACGTGGGCATGGCTCACGGTGGGGGGGTGTTATCCCTCAGGGGGGCCGGCTGGAGGAGGTGCTGCAGGAGGTGGCGGCACTGCGGGCGCTGGTGGCTGAGCAGGGCCAGCGCATCGACCGCCTCGAGGAGCAGCTCAGCCGCCTCGAGAATGGCCACGTCTAGGGACCCCCTCAAGGACAACTGCCCCAGGGACCATGCCTGCGCCCCAGGGAACCCCTCCCCTGCACCCTTCCACCCCTGGGGTGCCCCCTCTGCCCCGCTCTGGGTCCTTCTCCCCTTGGGGGGCTCCCCCCCTCATTGCCTTACTGGGTGCTGCCCCCCTCCCCAAATCATGGACCATTCCCACCCCCGTGTCCTCAGGCTCGGGGTTGCTCCTGGGATCAAACATTGCCATCTGCATCCCCAATCCCTGTGTGGGGTCTCCCGCCCCTCTTCCTGTGGAGTAGGGCATGATCTGCCCCCCCCCAACTGTGAAATATTGTCCCCCCTATATTTTGGGGGCTTCATCCCCCCCCCTTCTTCCTCCCTATTGCATCCACTTGTCCATTCCAGTGCAGGGTCAAAAACTATATTTTCACTCCAAATAAAGGATTTATAAGAAACATTCTGAGGGCTGTGGGGGGCTGGGGAGGTGGAGGACTTGGGGGAATGGCTGTGCGATTAGGGGACTCTTTTGGGAGGTGGCAGGGAGCTCTGAAGGCTGCAGGTGCCACCTGTGAGAGGTGACAAGGCGGGGGCACAGGAAGGCACGGCAGTCACGGGTGGGAGCTCAGCGCCTCGGGCAGGAAGTGGGGGGACACGGGGGGGCATTTTGGGTAGGGAGAGGCTTGGGGGGGGTGCAGCACCTCCCCTCCCCCCGCTCTGAAACATCCGCTGTGCGGGGGCAGGAAGTTGGGGGGGGCTCCCCCCCATCTCGGCGCGCGCCTGCAGCATCAGGACCTGCTCCGGTAGCACCCACTGATGGTGAGCACCCCAAAAACGGGAAGGGAGGGACATGGGGGGGCTGGGGACATGGGAGGGGGGAGGGGATACAGGGGGGATCCCCCAAATTGAGACTGAGCTGGTGGCAGGGTGGATTGCTCTCCAGTCTCAGTTTCCCCTGTGAAACGTGGAGGGAGCGTGGGGGGAGGGTGGGGGTGGCTGAGTTTCATTCAAATTTGGGTACCTCCAATTTTGGGGTGTGGGGGGGCAGCCATGGGGGGTTGTGGGGCACCCAACCATAGTTGGGTGTGAGGCACGGGGTCTGGTGGTGCTGGAGCTGGGAGGGCAGGGGAGCAGGTTTTGAGGGTTGGGGAGCGGTTTGGGGGCGGCTCAGGAGCAGGATGGGGTAGGGGAGGCAGGTTGGGGGGAACACAGTGGGGTTGAGGGAGGTATGGGGGTTTCAGGGGAGCATGGTGAGGTTGGGGAGTAGGCTGGGCGGCTTGGAGGAGTGTGGTGGGAGCAGGTTTGGGGGGATCAGAGCAGTATGGGGATGTTTGGATACTGGTGGGAGAAGGGGAGCATGGAGGGCTTGGGGGGCAGGTTGGGGGCTTTAGGGGAGCACAGTGGGGTCGGAGGTGTGTATTGGGGGGTCAGGGTATTATGGTGAGTTCAGGGGGGCAGGTGGGGAGGTAAATGAGCATGGGGTAGTTGAGGGGCAGGTTGGGGGATTGCCGGAGCACACTGGGGTTGGGGAGCAGGTTGGGTGTGTTGGGGGAGCAGAGTGGGGTTCAGGGGCAGGTTGGGGGGGATCAGGGGAGCATGGTGAGGTTGGGAGGGCTCAGGTCGTCATGGTGGGGTTGGGGTCTCTGGTGAAGGCTGTGAATGCCGAGTTTGAGGGGGACCCCAGAGCTCTGGCGAGGGGTTCTATGGGGCTGCAGCACTACAGGAAGGGGTGAGGGGTGCAGAGGGGAAGCTGTGTAGCCTCATGGTGTGGCAGGACCCTGCTCCTCTGCCCCAGCACCCGCAGGTGCCACAGCCATGCCGCCACCCATGGCTTCCTGTCACTGCTGCGGGGGTCACCTCCCCCCTCCCTGTCCCTTGTCCCCTGCCCCCTGTCCCCGCCGCCCTTTGCCCCGGGCCCTTCCCAGCACCGGGAAGGCCTGGGCCTCATGCCAGGCACACGGAGGTAACCCCTGCCCTTGCCCTCAGGCTGGCTCGTGGTGGCACCCAGTGCTGCTGGCGCTGGCTGGGCCAGTGGCCGCCGGGGACCCCGCGGGGGCCCCCAGCGACCAGGCGGTGGGCACCCTGGTGGGAGTCCTGCTGTGCCTGGTGCTGGGGCTGGCGCTGGCCTGGCACCACCTATGCCGCCTCTCGGCTGGCCAGTACCACCCACGGCCACTTGGGCGCCGGGCGCTGGCGCTCCTGCAGGGCTGGTGGCACCGGCTGCGGGCGCTGGGGGACCCTGCCGAGGCACCCGGGGACGCCGACACAGAGGTGGCTGTGAGGGATGAGGATGAGGAGCTGATGCCATGGAGCCTGGAGAGGAGGCCGGAGCAGCAGGAGGAGGAGGAGGAAGAGCAGGAGGCGGCGAATGAAGATGAGGACGAGCAGGAGGCCGAGGCGTCCCCAGCCCTGGAGGGCAGGGAGAGCCCTCCATGTGGGAGGCGGGGGGCAGGGGGCAGCGCCGAGGCCTTGCTCAGTGACCTGCACTCCTTCTCGGGGACAGCGGCCTGGGAGGACGCGCGGCCAAACGTCACTGCCTTGTGACGTCATCACTGTGACGTCGCTACCCCCTGATGCCACTGCCACGAGATGTCACTGCCCTGTGACATCACATCCTTGTGACAGCCTTGTCCTGCGATGTCAGCACTCTCTGATGTCATCTCAACGCCCCTCCCATCTGATGTCACCGTGCTGCGATGTCACCATCCTGCGATGTCATCTCGTTCTGACACCCCTGTCCTGCCATGGCACCCCCCCGGATGTCACGTGCTCATGATGTCACTGCCCTGCCAGCAGAGGGACCCCTTCTCTGCCCCCGCCTGCCTCCAGCGGAGGCTCCTGGTTGGCTGTGTGGGCCTGGGCACCAGCCAATAAAGAGCAGCTCTGCCCAAATTTGGCTGCCTGGGTAAGCCTGGGAAAGGGGGGTGGCATTAAAGGGGTGTGGCACCACACAGGGGGTGGAGCCTGGGCTCTACCCTGGCAGGGCAACCCTCCCCCCACGCCCCCTGTGATGGGTCCTCCCAGGACCCCCATCCCCAGCACAGGGACCACCGTGGCCTTGGCAAGTCCTTTAATTGGCACGCATCCAGCATCGGGGCCACACCCCCAGGGGCCACACCCCAAAAGGCCACACCCTAAGGACCACACCCCTGGGCAGGCCCCCTGTGCCCCCCAACCCAGCAGGCAGGGGGGCTGTGCTGGAGGAGGGGGTGAACCCCCCAGAGCAACAGCAGCACCGTGGGGTCCCCCCCACACCATGGGGGGCACCAGGCCCCCTCCCTGCCCCTCCCCACCCCCCACCCCTACCTGGGCACTCGCCCCCGGCCCCCCTTCTGCTTCTTGGCCCCCCCAGAGGGTTTGATGGGCAGGGGGGCCGTGCCCTCGGGTGGGGGGGCCTGGGGAGGTCCCAGCTCCATGGCATCCCCCGGGACCACCGGCTTGAATGCCTCGAACGGAGAGAACTTCACAGGGCTGGGGGGGGACACAGTGGAGGGTGAGAGGGGCACCCACGGTGGGGGAAGGGGGCAGCCAGTGCCCCTCCCCAGCCCTGAGGGCACCAAGACCCCCTCATATTCCATGAACCTTTCCACTGGACCTCCACCCACTCTCTTTTCCCCTTGGTGCCCACCTTGATGCCCCCATCCCAAACCCCTCCCCCCCCCATTCACCCCCTGAGCCCTCCCTGGCCCCCCAGTACCTGACGGGGGTGTGGGGGCTGCTGTTGAGGCGTCGGGGTGAGCGCACCTTGGGCTGGAAGGAGAACCCCTCCTTGATGCTTTCCAGCACTGAGGGGGCCACGTAGGTGAAGCCCTGCAGGTTTTAGGGGTGTCAGCAGGGGGTTAGGGGTGCTGGGGGTGCCCCCCCAAGCTGTGGCCCCCCTACCAGGAAGGCCTGGTTGGCACTTTCACTGATGGCAGCATCGTCAGGGCTGTCAACGGGGGTCTGGTGGGTGAAGCGGGTGTCGAACTGGCTCACGTCCTCCTCTGACTGCTGTGGGGACACAGTGGGTACTCCCACGGGACCCCCCAAAACACTTCCTGCCCCCCCCTCTGCCCACCCTCCATACCAGGCAGGGTTTGAAGGGGGGGTCCAGCCGGCGTGCCAGCAGGTCCTCCCAGTTGATGTGGCGGAAGAAGGGTTGTTTCTGTGGGATTGTGGGGTGTCAGGCAGGACAGGGGGGGTCCTACCCGTCCCCTGCCCACCCCTGTACCTGCACATCGGCTGCGTCCCCCGGGCCCCCCCCAACCCGCTGGTTGGGGTTTCGCTTGAGGAACTGGAAGAGAAATAGGGACGGAGACAAGAATGGGGGAGGTGTTTTGGTAGAATATGCTTAAATAAAGGGTGGGAGGAGGTGAGGGAAGTCTGGGGGGGCACCTTCTTGAGGAGGTCGCGGGCGTCGGGGGTCAGGTAGGGCGGCAGCACCAGTTTGCCCTTGAGGATCTTGTCGATGGTCTTCTTGCGGTTCTCGGCGGTGAACGGGGGCTAAGAGAGGCACCACGTGGTGAGGGAGTCAGCGGGGTGAAAAAGGCTCAGAGTCACCCAGATGGGGACCCCCCAAACCACCTCTGGGACTCCTCACCTAATGACCCCCAGGGAGGAAAGAGCAGGAGTGAGACTTGCTGATCCTGTGAGTATCAGGGTGCCCTGACTCCTCCTGCCAGGGACCCATCTCCAGGACCCCCCCCAACTTCAGGACTCCCCCCTCCAGCTCTCAGACCCCCTAGTCCCCCAGGGAGGAAGGAGCAGGAGTGGGACTTGCCGATCCGGTGAGCATGTCGTACATCAGAGCTCCCAGGCTCCACCAGTCCACCGCCCGGTTGTGCCCGCTCCTCACCAGGATCTCGGGGGCCCTGGGAGGAGCAGGGGGGTCCCTGAGCGCGTGGGGGGCCATGGCAGACCCCACACACACACCCCCCAAGTGCTGCATCCACCTCACATGTACTCAATGGTGCCGCAGAAGGTGTGGGTGACAGCTCCGTCATGGATCGACTCCTTGCACAGCCCAAAATCTGTGAGCTTGATGTGACCTGAGGGAGATAGGGGGCTTAGCACTATCCCTGGAGAACCCCTAAGCCCCCCAGATTTCCCCCAAGCCCACCTTGGCTGTTGAGCATGATGTTCTCTGGCTTGAGATCCCGGTAGATGATCCCGTGGGAGTGCAGGTGACCCAGAGCCAGCGTGATCTCGCTCAGGTAGAAACTGGGGCGGGACAGGGGAGGCTGAGAGGGGTGTTGGGGTGCCCACTCCCCTCTGCAAGCCCACCACTACCACCTCCCCAGCCCTACCAGGCAGTGTCCTCCAGGAAGATTCCCTCCCGCTCCAGCTGCATGAAGAGCTCTCCACCTGCAAAGAGAGCCCGAGTCAGACCCCTTGAGCCATCCCTGGAAACCCTTTAGCCATCCCTGGGACCCCCTGAGGAATCCCTGGGACCTCCTGACCCATCCCTTGGGACCCTTTTAGCCACCCCTAGGATCCTGTGAGCCATTCTTGGGAGTCCCTGAGTAATACCTGGACAACCCCAAGCAATTCCCTGGGACCCCTTTAACCACCTCTGCACCCCCCTGAGCCAACCCTGGAACACCGTGAGCCATCCCTGGATCTCCTGAGCCCTCCCTGGGACTACCTAAGCCATCCCTGGGACCCTGTGAACCATCCCTGAGACCCCCTTAAGCCATCCGTGGACTCCCGGAGCCCCCCAGTCGCCCGGCCGCCCTTCCCTCACCACTGAGGCACTCCAGGATGAGGTAGAGCTTGCCGCCTGTCTGGAAGGCGTAGATGAGGTCGACGATGAAGGGGTGCTTGACGGCCTCCAGGATGTTCCTCTCTGCCCGCGTGTGTGCCGTGTCCTTGGCATTGCAGGCGATCTTGGCCTGGGGAGGGGGTGGGTACGGAGTTTGGGGGGTCCCCTGGGGTGCTTGGGGGGGGGGCCAGGGGTAGCACTACCTTCTTCAGGACCTTCATGGCAAAGATCTTTCCCGTGTTGGTGCCCTGGACTTTGCGGACCTGGAACACCTGGGAGGGCGGGAAGGGAGGGTTGGGGATGCTGCCAAGCAACACTGGAGCCCCTCCCAGGGCCCCCCCAGCCCACTGTGCCCCCACCTTGCCATAGCCCCCCTTGCCCAGGACACGGAGCAGCTCGAAGCAGTGGGGGCCGATGTGCTCGGGGCCGTTGTTGACACTGCTCTCCGAGATCTCAATCTCTTCGTAGTGTCCCACTGGCCTGGGGGGAGAGGGGTGAGCAGGGATGGACCCCCTGCCTGTCCCCTCCTCCCCTGCCTGCCCCCCACTTACTCCAGGCCGTTTCCCCGCGGCTCCAGCTCCATCTCCTGCGGGAGGGGACCCACAGTCAGTGGAGGGGGGGGGGAGCACCGTGGGTAGGGGGGCAGCTGCAGGCAGGGGACACACGGCAGGGAGGGGACATGCGGTGGGATGGCAGGGACGCAGGAGACCCATGGTAGGCAGGGGACTCGTGACAGGCAGGGGACCCATGGTGGGATGGCATGCAAGTAGAGAACCCACGGCAGGCAGGAAGGGGACACATGGTAGGGAGGGAACCCACGGCAGGGAGGAGACCCAGGACAGGAAGGGTACCCATGGCAGACACGACACGAGTGGGACACGGGCAGGACACGGGCAGCAAGGGGCGAGGCAGCGCCGAGCCGGCCCTGACGGATGTTTTGGGGCCGAGGCCGGGCCCTGCCCAGCGGGAGCCGCCCGCTGCCCGGCCGGGACCCGCGGCTGCCCCCGGTGCCGCACGGACAGCGCGGCGACAGCCCCCGCCCCGCCACCGGAGGGATCCTCGTCACTGTCGCTGTCCCGCAGCCCCCCGCCCGCCCTGCCGGGCACCGAGCGTGTGTCCTCCCCGTGTGTCCCGGTAGCCGCGCTCCTGCTGTCCCCACTGCGTCCCCACTCCGCGCCCCGTCCCGATCGCGGTGCCCCGCGTTCCCGCGGCGCCGCCCCCGCCCCAGCCGGCGCTGGGGGTCCGGATCCCGGTGTGTCTCCCCATCGTCCCGCCCCCGCCCGCGCCCCGGGGTGGGCTCACGGCGCCCAGCTCGGGCTCGTCCCCGTCGCTGCCCTCCTCGGTCTCCAGGTCGATGTCGAACACCCCCGCCATGACTGCGCCGCGCGGGAACCCCCCGGGACCCGCCCCGTGGACCCGCCCCACGGACCCGCCCCGCTCGCGTCACCGGGGCGTGCCCCGGTGTCCCCGGTAAGGGGGGACGCGGGGACCGCGGGTCCCCGGGGATGGCGCAGGGACAAGGACAAGGACAGAGCCGCTCACAGCCTTTACTGGGGGTCGCCCCGGCCCGGGCCCGCCCTCGCTGCGCCGCCGTGACGTCAGCGGGGCCGCCGTGATGTCAGAGGAGGGGGTAGGAAGGGACGGGGGGAGACCCCCGCGCCCACCCACCCCTCCCCGCCACGAGTGGGCGTGGGGCGCACTAGTGGTGGTGTAGGGTCACTGGTGTTATTGTAGCGTCGTGGGGGCTGTAAGGGCTGGGTGTTATTGCAAGGTCACTCGTGTTATTGCAAGGTCACTCGTGTTATTGCAGGGTCTCAAGCACTACAAGGGCTCGGTGTTATTGTAGGGTCTCTCATGTTATTGCAGGGTCTCAAGCACTATAAGGGCTGGGTGTTACTGTAGGGTCAGAGGCACTACAAAGGATGGGTATTATTGTAGGGTCTCTGGTGTTATCGTAGGGTCTTAGGCATTACAAGGGATATGTGTTGCTCTAGGGTCACTGGTGTTTTTGTAGGGTTGGGGGCACTTCAGGTGATGGGTGTTATCATAGGGTCACTGGTGTTATTGTAGGGTCTCAGGCACTACAGAGGATGGGTGTTATTTTAGGGTTGTGGAGGCTGGGGGTTATTGTAGGGTCACTGGTGTTATTGTAGGGTCAGGGTTCTACAGGGGGTGGGTGCTATTGTAAGGTCACTAGTGTTATTCTAGGGTCTCAGGCACTACAGGGCCTATGTTGGTGTTATTGTATGGTCTCTGGTGTTATCGTAGGGTCTCCCCAGTGACAGCCCTGTATATCACAGGGGCTCCCCACACAAGTCTGTTCCCAGAGGGTCTTCCCAGCTGCTCCAGGGAATCCATGGGAGCCCCTCTGTTACTGCAGGGTCTTCCCACAGTGGTCTGTCATTGTGGTTTTGTCCCATGCTGGTTTGTTATTGTAGGGTCTCCCCTTCCAGGGTGTTACTGTGGGGTCTCCCCTCACTTGTCTGTTATTGCAAGGTCTCCCCATTCTGCTTTATTATTATAGTGTCTCCCCATGACGGTTTGTAATTTGTGAGGTCTCCCCTTCAAGGTGTGTTGTTGTGGGGCCTGTTATTGCGGAGTGTCCCCACACTGGTTTGTTATTGTAGTGTCTCCCTATGCCGGCAGGTGCCAACACACCTCAGGCTGCCCCTGCTGCTCAGGTGGGGTGGCTCAGGTGCCTCTGGGCGTCCCTTGCCTTCCCCCCTGCCGTGGGATGGCACAGGGACACTCGGTGCCCCCTGAGTGTCCCTGGCATGGGAGGGGCACGGGACCCCCAGCTGCGAGGATGGGGGCAATGGGGAAGGAAGGGGGATGCTGCAGAGCGGGGAATGGGGGTGCCAGGGCAGAAGGATGGAGTGTCAGGGAAGTGGGGGAATGGCAGGGCATGGAGTGGCAGGCCATGGTGGAGATGTCAGGGAATGGTGGAACAGGACATGGGGTGCCTGGATTGGGAGAGGGGGGTTTTAGGGGAAGGGGTAGTGGCGTAATGGAGGGATGACGGGGAAGGGGGTGCCACAGAAATGGGGGCGGTGCCAAGGAATGTGGTGCCAGGATGGAAGGGTATGCCAGGGAATGTGGTGCCAGGCCATGGGGGATGCCAGGGGATGGGATAACTGAGTAATGGGGGGGATGCCAGGAAATGGGGTGCTAGGGGAATGGGTGGATGTCAGGCAATGGGGTACCAGGGCAGGTGATTGGGATCCAGGGCAGAATAGGGGTGCCAGGGGGTGGGGTGTTAGGTTAATGGGGGGATCCCTGTGGATGGGGGGTCAGGATGCCAGAGGATGGGCTGCCAGGGAAGTGGGTGGATGCCAGGGCATGGGATACCAGGGCAGGTGATTGGGATCCAGGGCAGCGGTGGGGGGTGCCAGGGGACGGTGTGCCAGGCCACGGGATGATGGTGTCGGGGAGGGTGTCGGGGAGCGGGACTGCGGGGCGGGCTGGGGCGCGGGGGGATGCCGGGGAGCGAGGCGGCAGGAGGGGGTGCCGGGGCGGTGGGTGGGCGTCCCCCGAGCCCGCGCCCCGCTTTCCCCCGCCGTCCCCGCTACCTGCCCGGCGCTATTTGAAGTGGGACAGGAAATGCTCCACGGGGTATCTCGGGGAGTCGATGCCCAGCGCCTGGCACAGCCCCAGCAGGCGCACACAAGCCTCCGTCCGCGTCGCCCCGTCGCACGCCACGCTCAGCAGCGGCTCCTCGTACTCGCCGTCCCCTGCCACCTCCTCGAAGAGCCGATTGAGGCGGACGAGCCCCCGGCCCTGCAGCTCCCGCAGCGCCTCCATTCCGCCGCCGCCCGCCAGGGCCGCGCCGTGCTCCGAGCCCAGGCACATCACCCCGGCCAGGTGGGCACGGGGCGCGGGGCGGGCGGGCAGCACCGGCGGCACCCCCAGCGCCACCAGCACCGCCGCCAGCAGCAGGTCGGGGCCGTAGACCTCCCGGATCCAGTCGCGCAGGTAGAAGCCCCCCATGCGGGGATTGATCTCCAGCAGCCGCGGGCCCCCCGGCCCCAGCTTGAGCTCCACGTTGAAGACGCCGTCGTGCAGCCCGCACGCCCGGCAGCACTGCAGGGCCGCTCGCACCAGCTGCGCCTGCCGGTCGGCGGGCAGGCAGGAGGGCAGGCAGGCCGCCGTCTCCAGGAACGCGGGGACGCGCGTGGGGCCGTTGTCCGACACCCAGGCGCCCACGAGCCGCCCGTCGAAGACCACCAGGTCCACGTCGTGCTCGGTGCCCGGCACGTACTCCATGAGCAGCATGGCGTTGCCCCAGCCCAGCCCGATGCCCGGGTGGTCGGCGTCATCCCGCAGGTCCCGCCACAGCCTCGCCGCGTGCGCGTGGCACTGCCTGGCGTCCTCCACCAGCCGCACCCCCACTCCTCCGGCCCCGAACTCCAGCTTGGCCACGGCCGGGAAGGGCACGGTGCCCGCTGCCCGCTCCACGTCGCCGTGGCTCTGCAGCCGGCGGCAGGGCACGGCGAAGGCGGCGGGCGGCGGGCGGCCGCGGCGGCACCGCTGCAGGTGCTGGTGGGTCCGGCTCTTCTGCTTGGCCACGCGGACGGCGGCGGGCGAGCAGCCGCGCAGCCCCAGGCCCTGGCACACCAGCGCCGCCAGCACCACGCAGTCGTCCCAGTAGGAGAGGCAGGCGTGGGGCCGCAGCCCCTGGGAGCGCACCAGCTCCAGCACCCGCTCCGCGTGCTCCTCATCCCGCCGGTGCTCCCGGCTGTCGTAGGGCAGAAAGGTCTGGACCAGCCCCGCCGCGAAGTGCTCCGGGTCCGACTCCACGAGGTGGATCTGCGTCGCCAAAAGAGGTGTCACCAGGACGCCCACCACCGCCGGCCGGGCCGCGGGCGCAGCTGCCGTGATGCGGCACCCCGTGGTCGCTCCGAAACCTCCGGGTGGCAGCACCCCAAATCCTCCTCACCCTCAGCCCGTAGTCGCGAGCCGCCTCCCACACGAAGCTCTTGCTGACACCGCCGGCCCCGATGAGCAGGATGTCCTTGCCCTCCACCAGGTGACACTGCGCCCTGTGCAGCATGGCCTCGGCCAGCAGCCGGGGCAGGTCCCCGGGGGGCTCCCCCACGGCGCGCCCCATGGCCTCGGCCAGCACGCAGGTCTCCAGGCACCGCTGGCTGTTGGTGGCCAGGGCCACCAGCTCCAGGGCGTCATCCACACACGCCAGCAAGAAGTCCACGCCTGGGGACGGTGACAGTGATGGTGACGCAGTGCTTGGCACCGCGGGGCGACATCAGGGACCGGCACTGCCCCTCGCCGCGCTCACCCAGGATGTCGGTGCGGGCGCGGGTGCCACCGCGCTGCTGCGGGCTCAGCTCGGCCTCGGCGGCCAGGAGGGCGGCCATGGCGGCCTCGGTGGCCTCCCGGAGCCGCGTGGCCAGCGCCTGACGCTGACTGGGGGCCACCACCCCCCACTGCTGCAGGCTGGAGTCCAGGCCCTGGGGCAGTGCTGCCCCGTGACGCACTGGGCTCTCCACGCGTCCCACGGCACAGGCCACCTGCGGGGACACCGACACGGCCGTGGGGACACCAGCTGCCATCCCATTGCCTGGGGATGTGGGCTGCCACAGCAACACAGGGACATGGATGGCCACGCAAGGTAGTGTAAACTATCCTGCCAACAGGTATGGGGACATTGGCTGCCACGCCATAGCCTGGGGACCCAGCTGCCACCAGGGAATGGGGACATGGAGTGACCCAAGGACGGGGATACGGATGGACACCATAGCCAGGGGACATGGGGATATGCGCTGTCCTATTAGTAGCTTGGGAGCACCAGGTGCCACCATAGCTTGGGGACATGTGGGGCCACCAGGACATGGATGGCCACCATAGCCTGGGAACACACAGGGCCACAAGGGCATGGAGACCTGCGCTGCTGTGCAATAGCCTGGGGAACATGGGCTGCCACCAGGGTGTGGGGACACGGATAGCTTGGGGATATGGGGGGCCACCAGGGGTTGGGGACCCCCCTTACCTGGCAGAGCTGGGGCCGGTCCCCCCAGGACCTGCAGACCAGGGTGCAGATGCGCAGGGCCACGGGCAGCCGCGGGGCTGGGCTGCCTGGGGGGTGAGGGGCAGGGCAGGCACTGTCCCGGCCCAACCCCCCCCTCCTCCGGGGGCTTTGGGGACCCCCCAGTGGCACCACGGTGGCCCTGGCCAACCCCAGCCCCAGGGGAGTGTGGGGTACAGATGGTCATTGTCATCCCCAGCCCCAGGGGACTGTCAGGAGGCAAAGGGGGTCACTTTCCCTCCCACCCCAGGAGGCTGTGGGGGTCCAAGGCACCCTTCCCTCCCACCCCAAGTGACTGTGGGAGTCTGGGGTGCCCTTCCCTCCCACCCCAGGTGACCATGGGGGTTCATGGTGACTTCCTCCTCCAACCAGGGACTATGGGGGTCCAGGATTACCACCCTCATGCCCACCCCCAGGATCCCCGGGGTTTGGGCCTCCCGATGACCCTCCATCCACCCCAGGGGACAGATACATGTCTGGCACAGCCAGGGAGAACTGGGAGGACCCTTTCCCTCTCCCACCCCAGGGTAGTGGGCACCCAAGGGTGGGGGCCTTACGTGGGGGGGGCACAGGCAGGCGGGCGGTGGGCACCATGGCCTCCAGCAGGACGCTGTCCTCCTCCGTCAGCCCCCGGAGCCGGGCACCCACTGCCTGCACCACTGCCGCCCCCTCCTCCTTCCTGTGCATGCTGCAGGTTCCTGTCCCCCGCCACTGCCACCCCGCCGGCCGCACCACCACCTGTGGACACCCCCATGCCATCCAGTGCCATCTGGTGCCACACCAACAGCCACCCCACCACCTGTGTATACTCCCATGTCACCCCATGCCCTGGTCACCATGTACATGTGCCAGTGTGCCACCCAGGGCATGGGGTGACAACAGCCACTCCACCACCTCAGTACAGTTGTCACCCTCTGTCACCCTCTGTCATCAGAGACACCCTACTGGTGTGTGACCCACAGGTGCCCCCACCATGCCCCCCCTGCCCTGCTGTGCCCATGTCCCTTACCCCTACCCCCCTACCATGCCCTGTGGGTGCCCCCCATGTCTCTCTGTGCCCACCTGGCTGTAGGGCTCCATGGCAGTGCCCCCCAGGAAGGCATCCACCTCCTCCTGCACCAGGCTGTCCTGGCCCTGGGGGTCCTGCAGCCGCACCAGCCTCACCCCGGGCACCTCCAGTTTGGCAGGCAGGTCCCCCCGAGCTCCCAGGACAAAGGCCAGCGTGGGGGGCACAGGCAGGTTGGCACGAGCTGCCAGCACCCAGCGGGTGAGCAGCAGGTCCTCGAGGCGGTGGGTGAGCAGGGCCGAGCCCCCCGTGGGGCAGTCGAGATCACGGGCCAGCTCACCCACCCAGCGGCCCTCGGGCTCCCATGGCACGAATGTGCCCGTCACGTAGTTGGCACGGCGGGGGGGCACAAAGGTCTCCAGGGTGCTGTGACCCCCCACCTTGAAGGAGACCCCCTGGGAGAGCAGCAGGGACCAAGCACCGGGACACGACTCGGACGGCACGCGGCTGGCCCAGGTGGGTGACAGGCACAGCACCATGGCACCTGTGGGTGGGCAGGGGGGTGGGCAGTGAGGACCCCGCACCCCCTGACACCCCAGGGTGGCATTTGCTGCTGGACTGGTGTGTGCTGGGATGAGTGGAGCACGGGAGGTTGGTGCCACCCTCCTCCCCTGCCTTAGTTTTCTTCCCAGTCCCGGCCATGCAGCACAGGCGGGTTTGGGGACCCCCTCACTGTGAGTTCAGGGCTGGGGACAAGGAGACCATACCCACCTGGGCAGCGGGTACCACCCTCCAGCAGGACGGGCAGGAAGGCAGTGGGGGAGCCCAGGATGCAAACGGTCATGTCCAGTGGGCCAAATCCTACCAGGAAGGGGAGGGTCAACTGCCCCGGGGTGGGAACCCCGGTACCACCCTGTCCCTGGCACCCCAGCCTGGCTGGGAGACCCCAAACACTCTTGTCCTGAGCCTGGCACTGTGCCCCCAGTGCCACCCCAGTCCCTGCCACCCCCGCGTCCCCAACCTGGTGCTCTTCCCCCACCCCAGTCCCTGCCATCCCCATGTCCCCAGCCTGGTGCCGTGCCCTCCATGCCTCCCACCCGTGCGGGGCTCCGTGGAGCAGTCCAGCGTGGGGGGCAGCCCCTCCTGGCACAGGGCGCTCTGCAGCCGCTCGAAGGCGTGGGTGGCACCATCAGGGTCCCCGCTGTCCCCAGGCACGTCGCCATCGGGGGCCTCATCCTCCAGCCAGCCTGGGCACAGCGCCTCGGGCCCTGCCCACTCCTGATCTGCAGGGCTGGGCACCTGCTCCGTGCTCGGCTGGGCCATTGAAAGCTGTGGGAGCAGGGACTGCGCTGGTACGGGGCTGGAACTGGGAGAGGGGAGTAGCATGGGGCTGGCACAGGGTGAAGGGAATGGTATGTGGCTGACATGGGGTTAAGGGGATGGCTCAGGATTGGCATGGGGCTGACATGGGGCTAAGGGGTTTTGGATGGGGCTAGAACAGAGCTAAGTGGATGGCATGGAGTTAAGAGGCTGGTGTGTGGGGCTGGTATGGGCTTAAGGGCTGGTATGGGGGTGGCATGGAGTAAAGGGGTGGGCGTGGGGCCAAGGGGATGGCACGGGGCTGACACGGGGCTAGTGGGTTGGCATCAGGCTAGTATGAGGCTTGCATGGGACTAAGGGACTGGCATGTGGCTGGCACAGGGCTGGTGTGGGTCTGCCATGGGTCTAAGGGTTTGGTATTAGGCTGGTGGTTTAGCATGGGACTGGCACGGGGCTGGCACAGGTCTAAGGGGCTGGTATAGGGGTGGTATGAGGCTGGCACAGGACTAATTGCTTGTCACGGGTCTGGCATGGGGCTAAGGGGCTGGTATGTGGCTAATGGGCTGACATGGGGCTAAATGGGTTGCCATGGGACTGGCGTGGGTCTGGCTCGTGTTGAAGGGGCTGACAGGGATGTAAGGGGTTGGCATGGGTGTGGCACGGGGTTGTCATGGGGGCAGACACCGGGTGGGCATGGGGGACAGGGCGCAGACACAGCGTAGGGGCACCAGGCGCTGCTGCCACTCGCAGGTGGGGGAGTCACGGTGCCGGGGGGCTGCGGGCGCCGGGCAGAGTGCCACCGCCTCGGGGACAGCAGGGCAGTGCCAGCTGCCAGGGCCACCAGCTCCCGGACAAAGCGTCCCCTTGTCCCCGCAGGGTCACGCGGAGGGTGGGCACACCATGCTGCCCCGTGCCAGTGCCCGGCACTGCCGGCGTCCCTGGAGCGGGCACCCACCTCCGCCCGGACCCCCCACCCGGGGGCCACTCACCATCCTGGTGACAGAGGGGCTGCAAGAGAAGGACAGGCAGAGTCAGCATGGCTTCTTGGGGACCTGCCACCTCCCTGGCAACACACCCCCAGTGCTTGGAGCCCCCTCACCAGCCCCTCCTGGGAGGACCCATCCTGCAGCACCCACCAGAGCCTGGCACCCTTCCTGTGGCACCCCTCGATGCCAGCTCTGGTGTCCCCAGCTTGTCCCCTCGTTTACCACCCTGGCGATCCCAAATTGACCTCTCGGTGCCAGTCACGGTGGCCCCAGGTTTTCCCCCTCGGTGCCAGCCCCGGTGGCCCCGGCACCTACGGCTGAGCCTGCGCAGGGATTACCGTAATCCCGTGCCAGCTCAGTACAGGCAGGGGCACCCCCCCCGCCCCAGGGGTGCCAAGGTGCTCTGGGGATGCAGACCCAGGTGCCTGGGGTGTCCCCGGCCCCCAGGGTGTCCCCATCCCCAGCGCGTCCCCAGCAGAGCTGGCATGGAGGGAAATAGAGGCACGGAGCTGAGCAGTGCCCACTGGCAGCCACGCACCGAGGCACTCCCAGCCCCTCGGGGTGCAGACCCAAGGCACGCGGCGGGGGGGTGTCCCCGGGGAGTGGCCGGCACCCGGGAACAGGGTTAGGGGGTACACTGCTCGGTGGCATGGCAGAAGAACCCCCCAAAACCCATCCACGAGACAGCCATCGGGGTCCCTCCGCACCCCCCCCCAGCCTGGGGACCACCCTGTCCCCCTCCACCCACAGCCGGGAGGAGGCCCTGCGGTCCCCAAGCTGGGACAGCCGTGTCCCCTGGTACCTTGGGGTGGGAGCCGTGGCCTGAGAGCGCGCAGGGGACGAGGGCTCGGGGACGCCTGGCACAGGGGACACCGGCCGCTCTGGCCTTTAAACCCCCCCGCGCCACGCCAGGGTGCCAATCCCCGGCCCCGTGCCCCGGATTAGGCGACACAGAGCCCCATTGTCCCCTCTGCCACCTCGCGCCAGGCGCTGGCACCCCTGTCCGTGTCCCTGTCCCCGTCGCCAGGGAGGGACGCGCTGCCGCAACGGGACCCGGTGCGTGGCTCAGCCTGCCGGGGTGTCCCTGTCCCCCTGTCCTGTGTCCCCAGGTTGGGCACGCCCTTCCCCCCTCCCCCCCCGCCCCCTCCCACTGTCCCCAGCGTGGCGGAGCTGCCAGCACGCACGTCCCCCGGCTTATCTCCAGCTGCCTGCGGTGTCACTGTCACTGCCACCGTCACCGCCACCGGCAGGCACGGGGCCACCAGCGCGGCTGCTGCGCCGCAGGGTCCTGCACGCACTATCACCCTCTCCCTTTCACCCGCTCCCTGTCACCCACTCCCTGTCACCCCCTCACCCCGTCACACATCCTGTCACCTACCACCCAAACAATCGCATCCCCCATCACCCACAGCATTACCCACACCATGTCACCCCCACCATCACCTGCATCATCAGCTGCACCCTGTCACCCCCACTATCACCTGCACCACCACCCTGTCACTGTCACCCTGTCTCTCACACCCTGTCACCCACAATGTCACCTGCACTGTCACTCACACCTTGTCACCTGCACCATCACCTGCACCCTTGTCACTGCCACTCCATCACCTGCATCCTGTCACCCACAACTTGTCACCCACACTGTCACCCCCACCCCCTTACCCATACCCCCATCACCTGCACTGTGTCACCTGCACTGTCACCCACACACTCACCTGCACCCTGTCACCTGCACCGTGTTACCCTCACCCTGTCACCTGCACCCTGTCACATGGCCCCACGCACACACATGTGCACATACACACGTGCACATACACACATGTGCACACACCCCTCGGCCCAGAACCCCCTGCTCCTGCCCCCCCGCAGCACCACCCCCCCAAAAAACACCCACTCGCTCCCCCCGGATCCCCCGGACCCCCACGCTGCCAGCACCCACCGGCAGTGGCGGTGGCGGTGTTGGTCGGTCCCGGTGCTGTCACACCCCGGCGGTGGCTCTGCCAGCTCCTGTCCCTGCCCTGTCGGAGTCCGTCTGTCTGTCCCGGTTCTGTCACACCCCGGCAGTGGCTCTGCCCGCTCCTGTCCCGGCGCTGGCGGCGGCGCCTCCTGCCCGGGCGGGGCGGCCCTGGGTGGGGCGGGGCGGGTCCGGGGGCACCGGAGGGACCGGGGGGACCGAGAGGGGTGGCAGGAAAAGGGGACAGCGGGAGGCTCGTGGCTGGGTAGCCGGGATGGCACCTCGGGGGGATGGGGACAGGGAGTGGAAGTGGGACACGGGACGGGGACAGGGGATAAGTGACCAGAGACAGGGACGGGGCCAGCCCAGGGTCACCCGGGGCCGGGTGTAAAACTGACACCGCGGAGCAGAAATGTCAGGGCCGGGGCAGGCCCCGGGAGCTATTCCCGACCGCACCCGCACGGCGTGGAATGGCGCGCAGGGAATGGCAGGGAATGCCATGTGGGCAGTGGCACGGCACGGCATGGCACACAGGGAACGGAATACAGGGAATAGCATGGCATGGCACAGGAGAATGGCATGTCTTGGCATGGCATACAGGGAATGGCATGACACGGCACAGCATGGCGTGGGAGAGCGTGGCACGGCATGGCACAGCCACTGTGGGCAGGGGGACAGGCAGGACCCCATCCCTGGCACTGCCACCCTTCCCGAGCCGTGGCACAAACGTGTCCGTGTCCCTAGCGGGAGCCCGGCCTTCGGGGTGTCCCCGGGGTGGCAACAGCCTCCCGGCAACCGCTCAGTGCTGCTCCCGACGGTGTCCCCAAGGCCCTGGGGCGGGGACATCCCCGAGCTCTGTCAGGCGTCCCTCTGTGCCCCTCGTGTCCCTCTGTGTCCCCTACATGTCACCCTAACCCCAGTCCTGGGTACCCCCACCCGCCCTGGTCCCTCCTGGGCTGCCCCCAGCTCCACTCCGCCCCTATCCCTGTGCTCCCAGGAGCAGGATACGAGTGCCCATTTTCCCCCCCGTCCCCTCCGTGTCCCCAGGACCCCAGTCCCGGGGACTCCCATCTACCCCGAGGCTGCCTCCCCCACTCTATCCCTGCGCGTCCAGGAGTGGGACACGAGTCCCCATGGTCCCTCACGTCCCCTTTCCCGGGGTGTTCCCTTTCCCGGGTTATACCCTTTCCCGGGATGTCCCCCCCTTACTGGGGTATTCCCGTTCCCGGCGTGTCCCCCTAGCCCGGGATGTCCCCTTGCCCGGCTTCTCCATCTGCCACGCACGTCCCACCTCCACGAATGTCATCCTGCCTCTATGCCACCGCCGTGGCTTCCCGCACCCCTCCCCTCCGTGTCTGCGCTGTCTCCCATCTCCGTCGGGGTTGAGATCGGGACACCGGGACGAGGGGGACACCGGGGGGGCCGCTGTGACTCCTCCGAGCCGGCAGGGGGCGCCCCCGGGCGAGGGGAGGGGCCGCTCTGGGCGGGCGCGCGGGGCGTGGCGGCGCGCGGGCGGCCATGGCGGACACCGAGAAGCTCAACCTCGACTCCATCATCAGCCGCCTCCTGGAGGGTGAGGGGTTCCTACCGCCCCCTGACTCCCGGGACTGCCCCCCGTCCGCCCGGGGAACCCTCCGGGACCCGCCCGGGCCGCCTTCCGGGGTCCGCCCGGGCCGTGCCTCAGCCCCGCGGAGTGGGGGGGGTGGGGGTCCTCGGCCTAGGCCTGGCGGGGGCGGGTTAGGCCGCGGTGCTTTTGGGGAGGGGGGTCGGGGCCGGGTGGTGTTTGGGGCGCGTCCCCAAGGGGTTTGGAGGGCTGGAGATGAGCTTGGAGGATATGGGAGGAGTCTGTACCCCGCAGGGAGGGGGCTGGGAGATATGGGGGGGTCCCTAAGGGGTGTGGGGCGCTGGCGATGAGCCTGAGGATACGGGGGGGGTCCCCAAGGCGTGTGGGGATTGGAACTGAACCTGGAAGATATGGGGGGAGTCCCAAAGGGATCTGTATCCCGGCATGATGGGCTGGGGATGCAGAGGGGGTCCCCTAGAGGTGGGCTGCTGATGGGTTCCTGGGGCACTTTGAGGGTCTCTGACCCTGCTCTCTGGGGTGGGGGCCAGTCCAAGGGTCGCGGCCAGGGAAGAACGTGCAGCTGACGGAGAACGAGATCCGGGGGCTGTGCCTGAAATCCCGGGAGATCTTCCTGAGCCAGCCCATCCTGCTGGAGCTGGAGGCACCTCTCAAAATCTGCGGTGAGGACTCGATGGGGGGGGGGGGTGGTCCTGCACAGCCCCACGCTTCCCACGGGAAGGCAGGGGGGCTGTGGGGAGCTGGGGTTCCGCTCACAGCCTGTCCCCCACCTCAGGTGACATCCACGGGCAGTACTATGACTTGCTGCGGCTCTTTGAGTATGGGGGCTTCCCTCCTGAGAGCAACTACCTATTCCTGGGGGACTACGTGGACCGGGGCAAGCAGTCTCTGGAGACCATCTGTCTCCTGCTCGCCTACAAGATCAAGTACCCCGAGAACTTCTTCCTGCTGCGGGGCAACCACGAGTGTGCCAGCATCAACCGCATCTACGGCTTCTACGATGAGTGTGAGTGCCCAGGCTGGGTCCCCCCAAAATGCACCCCTCACTGCTGCTTGTCCCAGTGCTGTCCCACCCCAGCTGTGATCAGAGTAGTCCTCCTGCCCCCTCTGCCCTCCCACCGTGTCTTCTCCTGACCTCCCCCATGTCCTCCTGCCCACACGGTGTCTTCCTGCCCTCCAAGTTCTCCTGCCCCCTCCCACTCTCCTATGTCCTCTTACCACCTCTCCTTGTCCCCTTGACCTCCCATGTCCCCCATCCATCACCCTAATTGTGCTCCTGCCCACCCCATGTCCTGCTGTCCTTCGTTGTCTTCCTGTCCCCCTCCACATTCTCCTGTCCCTTTCTGTGTCCTCCTACCATCCCCTCCTGTCCTCTTGTCCTCCTCTGTCCCCCTGGCCATCCCAATGTCCCCCTGCCATCCTCATGTCCTCCTGGCCACTCCGGTGTCCCACCTGTCACCCCTTTGTCCAGCCCTGTGTCCTCCTACTACCCGCTCCACGCAGTCCCACCCTGTCCCCCTGTGCCCCCCTGCCACCCACCTCATTGCCCTCCCAAGGACACCCCCAAATCTTCCCTGTCCCCCCCAGGCAAGCGACGATACAACATCAAGCTCTGGAAGACCTTCACCGACTGCTTCAACTGTTTGCCCATCGCCGCCATTGTGGATGAGAAGATCTTCTGCTGCCACGGAGGTGAGAAAACCCCTTTCCAGGGATCTGGGAGGGGCTGTGGAGGGGCGGGATCTCTGTGCTGAGCTCTGGGGGCGCCCCCTCTCCGCAGGGCTGTCCCCAGACCTGCAGTCGATGGAGCAGATCCGGCGGATCATGCGGCCCACGGACGTCCCGGATCAGGGACTGCTCTGTGACCTGCTCTGGTCTGACCCCGACAAGGACGTGCAGGGCTGGGGGGAGAACGACCGCGGCGTCTCCTTCACCTTTGGTGCCGAGGTGGTGGCCAAGTTCCTGCACAAGCACGACCTGGATCTCATCTGCCGGGCACACCAGGTACCTTCGGGACCCCCAGAACGTTGGGGAGCACCCCTGGAGCGGGGATTTGGGTTCCCAGGGGGTGTTGGCTATAGAGCAGGTGTGGGTACCCCAAGGATTTGCCCCCCAAGGGCAGTGTGTACTCCAGGTGTGGGACATGAGGGGGATTTGCTCCCCTTTGGGGGATTGTTGGGAGTGTGTAGACAGGATTCCTGGGGGGATTTGCACTGGGATTTAGGTATTTATCCTAGGAGGCTGGCAGTTTACCCCAGGATTTGGGTATTTTCCTTGGGATTTGGGCATTTGTGTAGAGATGGATATTGGCCCCAAGGGGGAAAAATTTGCCTGACATTGACCCGGGGGGGTGGGCATTTGCCCCCTGAGAGCCAAACTTTTGCCCCAGGGGAGTGGTTATTTGCCCAATGGGGGTGGATATTTGCCCCAGGGGAGTGAGTATTCGCCCCAGAGGGGGAAATACTTGCCCTGGGAGCCTGGATATTTTGCCCTGGGGCTGGAAGTGGGAATTTGCCCTGAGTGGCTGGGTGTTCACCCTAGGGGAGTGGATATTCATTCACCCTGAGGAGGTGAATATTTGCCCCTAGGGGGTGGCTGTTTGCCCCTGAGGTTGGATGGTGGTCCCAGGGGGGTGGTTATTTGCCCCAGGGGGTGGTTTTCTGCCAGTGGCTGCTCAGGATGTGCTCCCCTTATGCAGGTGGTGGAGGATGGCTACGAGTTCTTCGCCAAGCGCCAGCTCGTCACCCTGTTCTCGGCCCCCAACTACTGCGGCGAGTTTGACAATGCGGGCGCCATGATGAGTGTGGATGAGACCCTCATGTGCTCCTTCCAGGTGGGCTGGGCAGGGGGAGGACACCCCCAATTCCTGCTGGGGGGGCCGGGAGGAAAGCGGAGGGCGCCGAGGCGTTCTGCCCTGGGGGCAGAAGGGGAGTGGGGCGCTGGGGTGGGATGGTGTGAAGCCCCTTCTTCGCCCATTTCTCTCCCTCCCCTCCTGCATTTCTCTCCCCCCCTCACCCCTTTCTGACCCATTTCTTTCCCCCCTGACCCATTTCTCCCCTTTGCCCCCCAGATCCTGAAGCCAGCTGACAAGAGCAAGGGCAAGTACGGGCAGTTCAGTGGGCTGAACCCTGCCGGGCGCCCCGTCACCCCCCCCCGAAACTCTGCCAAAGCCAAGAAATGAGCCGTAGGAGCCGCCTCCCGCCCCGGCTGGGGTGCTGCTCACCCACACCCTGTCCCCCTCCCCTCCCCACACCCACACACACACACACAAAATCAGGTCGCTTTTGTTTCGACTCAAGTTTTTTTATTTGGAGGATCCTGTTCCCCGCCTCTTTGAGCCACGCTCCACCAAAGCAAGTCCAGTGCCAGGGCAGGGAGTGCTGGGGCGAGGGGGGAGCCCGGAGCCCAGCCCTGGGGTGGCAGCGGAGGGGGGGCAGGAGGAATTTTTTTGGGAATAAACTTGTAATGAATCGGGTCACTGGGGGGTGCCTGTGCTGGTGGCTGGATGCTGGGGGGGTGGCAGTGGCTCGGGGCTCAACATTCTCCATCGCTGTCCTCCGCCAGCACCTCCTGGGTGGGAGCCAGGCCGGGTCCCCCCGGTGTCAGCACCGAGCCAAAAAACAGGGAGCGGAACTGTGGGGAGAAAGGGAGAGGGTCAGGAGTGGGCTGTGACCACCCCCTGCCCCCAAGCACACCCATCCCAGACCTTCTTGTGAGGGGGTGTCCCTGGCACAGCTCTGTCCTCCTCCTCCTCCTCCTCCTCCTCCTGCTCCTCAGGGTCCCGGGGGGTGCACAGGGGGAAGGTGTGGCTGGGGGGTCCCCCCGATGCCCCCTCACAGCCACTGGTTTCCAGGGCAACCATGTAGGACTCGAGGTCATCGGCGAGGTTGTCGGCAGGGGTGGGCAGGTGGGACACGCTGATGGGGAGGGAGTGAGGAGACAGGGGCAGGGCTGGGAATGTTCACTCTGGTCCCTGCTGTTGGCAGCTGAGGGGGGTTCATGTGGAACTCACCCGTTGGTGGGGGGGGGGAGAGAGCTGCTTTCCAGGTCGGAGAGGGTGGCCAGCACCAGGTGAACCTCCAGCACGGTGTCATCCAGGGTGAAGATCACCGGCCTGGGGGCACAGAGGGGCTGAGGGCAGGGCTGGCACAGGGTGGGGGGGACAGCACCCACTCCTACCTGCCAGGCTCATCAAAGGAGATGGTGAGGAGCAGGTTGGAGGCCTCAGCAAAGGTCAACAGCCCCTGGGGACAAAGAGGGGGGTGAGGGGGGCTGGAGGGTGACACAGGGGCCGAGGGAACCCAGAGGGACTCACCCGAAATTCCTTGAGGCAGAAGGTGATGTGGGAGCCCGGGGACACGATCACTGACTGGAACTCGTCCTCAGCCAGCCACAGCTCCGTCACCATCATCTTGCTCAGCTCTGATGGGAGGAGGAGGTGGGTGAGGGGGCTGTGAGGGCACCCCAGGGCGGGCAAGGGGCTACTTCAGCCCACACGACTCACCTGCTTCGTCCTCCACATAGTTCCGGAGGCTGATCTTGCCCCCAGGGCCAGTCCCCAGCGTCACCTCAGCCAGCGTCGGGGGGAAATGGACCACAGCGTCTGCCAGCACACTGGGGGCACAGGGGGTAGGCAAGGGGGGCACATAAGCACCCCAAATCCCACAGGGCCAGCCGGGATCCCTCCTTCCTTCCGCCCTCATCCCCCTCTGCCCACCCCAGTGCCACCCCCACACCCTATGCCACCCCCAGTGCCATCCCCGTGGTGTCCCCTTGTCCCCCCCTCACCGTGCTGGGGCACAGAGGCGGCTGGAGCAGTGCTGGGTGTTGAACACGGCCTGCAGTCGTTCACACTCCTGGAAGGCCAGGTTATGTGTCTTGGTGACACCTGGCAGTGGGGACACAGGCTCAGCAGGGCAGCACACGGTGCCAGCATGTCCTCAGTGCTGTGTCACCCCCCTGGCACTCACCATACTTGCAGTGGAGCTGCAGGACCAGGCGGCTGGTGCGGGGCTTGAGCAGGATGAGGCATTTCCCCACCGACTTCTCCAGCGAGGGCAGCGAGCGGAACACGCCCAGGAAGGACTGTGGGCAGGGGATATGGATACAGGGACTGTCACCTGCCCGAGAACAACGGGTTGCTCGGGAGGGGGTGCCTGGGCAGGGGGTCCGCACCTTCATGTGGACTTTGCATCGGAAGCGCTCGGTGTCGGGTGTGGGGCCGCCCGGCTCGTACAGCTGGAAGAAGAGGGGGGCAAAGAGGAAGGAGACGAAGGCAGAGCGGGAGGAGTTGACAGCGCGCAGGGACAGCTGGTAACACACACACAGAGTGTTGGCACTGCCTGAAGGGACTGAAGAGGGCACGGGTGCCCCCCCCAGCTCCCCTCCAGCTGCTCCGTACCCCCTTCTCCGTGGGCTCCAGGTACAACTCGTCGCCGATGCGGGACAGGGAGTGCACGGCTCGGCCCAGCACTGGGAAAGAGAGGGTGAGTAGGGAGGGATGAGGCAGGGCCTGGGGGACCCCCCCACCGCCCCGTGCCCCCTGCTCACCTCTGACGTTGCCGCCCGCGATGACACATTTCATGGCACCGGGCGAGCACGTGGGGGCTTCGGGCCACGTCCGCCAGGCCCCGCCCCCGGTGAGACCACGCCCCCCGCTGGCGCCTGAGAGCTAGGCCACGTCCCCAGATTGCTCCCGCGGCCTCACCGTCCCCCTCCCTTCCCCACTGTTTTTGGTTTCCCCCCTTCTCGCCCCGCAGCCCCCCGCCCTCCCTAGCGAACTCGTAGTGGTCTCGCCCGCTCCCCCCCCCACTCCAACCCCTCCTGGTGGTTCCGGCCGCTTCACCCCCGCCGGTGCCTTCCCGGCTTCCCGCGCCCGCCTTGCGCCCGCCGCCTCCCCATTGGCTGGGAGTGCCACTCGGCCCCGACCCCGCCGTGTCCCGATTGGCCCGCGCCGGGGGCGCGCGTGACGACACGGCGCGAGAGCACCACGTGACCGGCGCGCGGGAGGGAAGAGCCCAGCTGCTACCGGGGGCTGCAGGTCCCGCCCTCTCCCGACTCGCTATTGGTCGGCGCTCGGAGTGACGTGCGGCTCGACCAATGGGGCTTCGACGAACCCCTCGGCGCCGCTCCCCGCGCTGGGTCCTTCCCGGGCCTTCCCCACCCGTCCCGGGGCTCCCCCGGGGTCGCTCCTTCCCTGTTCTCCCCAGCCCCTTGGCCCCCGCTTCATTCCCTGCAGCATCCCAGGCGGGGCTGCCCTCCCGCAGCATCGCCCGCTCCACCCGGTCCCTTCTCCTCTTCCCACATTCCAGGTGCTTCCCAGGAAGGAATACAGCTTCCCGTAGCTGCTCCGGTGCTCCCCGGGTTCCCGGGGGTTTTTTTATCCCTGCCTCCCGGGGGCAGGATGCTGCTCCCACATGCAGTGGTTAATGGTTAGTGGTCTCTCTCCATCCTGCAGATGCTGCTGGCTGTGCATCCCAGAGAATCATGGAATCCTGGAGTCGTTTTGGTTGGAAGGGACCTTAAGCTCCATCCAGTCACACCTCCCTGCCATGGGCAGGGACACCTTCCACTAGACCCAGTTGCTCCAAGCTCTGTCCAACATGGCCTGGAACACTTCCAGGGGTGGATTTTGGGGGTGTCCCCAGGATTCTGCAGTGGGAGGGGATGCTATAAATTCTGGGCTGGCCAGGTATATCCATGGGTTGTCCATAGAATCCCAGAATGGTTTGTGTTGGAAGGGACCTTAAAGCCCCCCCAGTCCCACCACCCTACCATGGGCCCAGACACCTCCCATTAGCCCAGCTTGCTCCAGGATGGCCAGGAGCACTTCCCAGGATGTGGCACAGGCTCCTGCAGCCGCCCATGCTCGCAGCCAGCCCAGAGCGCCGGGCTCTGGGCTCTTGGCCTCGAGGGAGCCCGGGGGATGTGTCTGTGAGGAACTTGAGTCGTGCTCACAGCAGGGTCCTCCAGCTGGCTCCTGCCCGCTGCCAGAGCAGCCGCTTCCCAAGTCCCTCCTCCTGGGCTCAGTGGCTCGGAGGGGCCCCACTGCTGGCACCTGATGGGGGGGAGTAAGGGCAGGAGGTGCAGAGCCCCTTTTCTGTGGCTGCCACCTTCCAGGATGTGCTCACAGCCTCTCCTCTTCCTCTCTCCCCTCCCAGGTGTGCCTCACTCCCATGGCTTGTATCCGGGATTTGGGACCCTCGGTGATGTGTCCCCTCCAGGTACACAACCCCCGACCTTCAGGGGGGCTCTGGGGGGCCAAGCCACGTGTGGAAGGCTGAGCCGAGCTCGGCACTCTGGGGTCTCCCAGGCCTGCCTTGGCCTGGGCTCAGAGTCCAGCTGGATCTGGCTCCTCTGCCCCTAGGGTGAGCCCTGGCTGCCTCCCTTCCTCCCAGGAGGAGGAGGAGGACGGGATTTTGTGCGAGCGTCCGCTCCAGCTCTGGCAGAGCTGCCGGGCTCCTCTGGAGCAGCGTCCCCAGGAGGGGCTCTGGCCTCAGGGCCGGGTGCTTTATGGGGCTGCGGAGAGGACGCAGCTGGCTGTGGTCGTGACACACACACCTCAGCGGGGGCCAGAGCCAGGCCACCCCTCCCTCCTCCTCCCTTCAGCACCGACGAGGGAACAGACTGGACGTGGCAACAAGAACCTGGCAGCCCCTCGGGGGGCTCTGGCACCGCCGGGCTGAGCTGCGCCCACCCAGGTCTCTCACCAGGGTTGGGGAGCTCACCCAGGGGTGGTGATGGGCTCTTCCCTCGCGCCCTGGCAGGCTTGGGGATGTCTCCCAGCCTCCTTCTCACTCCTCCAGCTCTCTTCCCGGCACATGGCACAGCGCCCTTGCCCAGGGAGACAGACGGCCACAGCTGGGCTCCTGCTGCCAGCCCGGCAGGAGGGGACATGTCGAGCCAGACGGCTGCTCCGTGCCCCTGACTGCGCCCCAGGGGTGTCCCCAAGGAGCTGGGCACTGCCTGTGCCTCCCAGCCCTCGCCTTGCGGGCAGTTTGGGACTAAACCCGGCATTTCTGGGTCTGGCCCCGCTGCGCCTCCCTCCTCCGGGCTGCTGGCCGCAAAGGTCAGCAGTGGGAGGCTGGGCTGGCCGTGGGGGGACCGGGGCACGGAGGTGAGCTCAGCTGCCCCGTGACGAGGCCCCCAAGGGCAGGGCGGGCAGGGCCTCACCCAGCGGAGCCGCTGTGGGCACTGGGCAAGGAGGAGAAGGTGGGAGAGGAGGATGAGGCTGGATGAGTCTTACCAGTGGTTTGACATGTGCCCACTTTGTCCTGGCGAAGGGGCTCCACCACTGGCTGGCACAGGGGCCTGGGAAGGGGCTCCACCACTGGCTGGCACAGGAGCCTGGGAAGGCAGGAGCCACATCTGCTGGTCTGCATTACCCTCCTCCTCTCCTTTCTCAGGTGTTGGCCCAGCGTGAGCTGTGGTGGCTGAAAAACTCCCCCAGAGTGCAAGCGCAATGCTGGACTTAGGGGAGGGGAAAGGGCAGTGAGGGGCAGCCCCGCTGCCTCTGCAGGCAGGACACCCCCGGGGACGGGCTGGCAGCTTTTCCCAACTGCTCCAGTGCTGCTGGTAGGAGCTGTTGGCTCGGGGGGAAACCAGATACCTTGTCCTACGGCCGGGGGGTGGGAAGGGCTGGTCCCATGTCGGGCAGACCCCTCAAACACACTGCCGGGTCTCCGGTGGATCTGGGGAAAAGGGTGCGGTCTGAGCAGGGCACCCTGCGTCCCGGAGAAAGCCGGGAGGATGCGATCCTGCAGGGAGGGCTTGGACCCGGCCAAGGCCGGGGTCTGGAGTGGAAGCGAATCCGCCTGCTACCTCCCGGCCCTTCCCGGCGCTCCTAGCGCCTTTGTTTTAAACAAAGCTTTTTTTGGGGAGCCAGGACGTTCCCCTCCCCGCTGAGAGAGCCCCTGCGGCAGCACCCACTCGTGGCTGTGGGGCACGAGGGGAAGGGACGAGGGGCTCTGGCTGGCGGGTCGCCCCCCTCCCCTCCAGCAGCGGCTCCCTCGGTCCTGGGGGTCTCCCCACGTCTCCCACACCTACCCCACCCACCCACCCCGCGTGGGCTGTGGGGAACGTCGCGGTATGCACCAAGGGCCCCGCGGTCGCCGGGACGGAGTTCGTCCTAACGGGGGAGGATAATTGGGAAGGAAGCGTCTCTGGCACCCGGAGGGATGAGGCTGGTGTGGGGAGGGGGTCCCTCCCCGTCCCCGCGTGGCCGTGCGGGACGGGGGGCACTGGGAGGAGCGAGACCCCTCCCTGGGACGGAGGGTCCCCCCGGGGCTGAGCCGCCGCCGCTCCGAGGGGCTCCGGCTGTGCCACCGGGACCCCGCCGCTCTCCCCCGCCCCACCGCTCACCTGCCGCCGTCCCGGCGGGGCAGCACTCCCCGCGCTGCGGGACCTCGAGCTCGGGCGGGGGTCCGCGCCCCCCCCCCCGGACCCCCTCTCTCCGCCGGAGGGGAGGGGACCGGCCGTGCCAGCGGAGAGCCCGGGACCCCCATCCCCCGCCGCCACCCTCCGCGCACCGGCCGGCCCCATCCCTCCGCCGCTCCTCCCCGCTGCCCCGGGGGAAGAAAGGGGGCAAGCTGGCACCCCACGCCACCCACACCCCCACCACGGCCCCGGCCCCGCCAGCGGAGCCTCTCCGCCAAACTTCGCCCCGTCCCCCCTCCTCCCCTCTCCGGACCCCCCTCCCTCCCGTTCCCTCTGTGCCCCCCCGGGACCGGGCTCTCGGCTCTGTGTGCGGGGAGGAGAAGAGGCGAGAGGGCTCGGAGCGGCAAATGGGAGCCGCGGTCCCGGGCCGGTGTGCGGGACCACTGCCTGCCCGCCCGGGGACCTCCGAGCACGCACCCACCGCGCCGGCCCCGCGCCCGTCCCGCATGGAGCTGAGAGCAGGTAGGAGACCCCCTCAGCAAAGCGGCCCCGGCCCCGCACCGGCCCCGCCACTAACAAAAGCCGTGCGGGAGCCAGGACCGGGGGGCGCAGGGAGGGAGAAAGCGGGGGTCCCCCCCTTCCCAGCCGGCCGGCAACACCCCCGGGGACCCCCCTCTTCCCTTCCCTCCCCTCCGCCTTCCGCAGCTCCGGGGCTCGGCTCCAGCCTCCCCACCTCTGCCCGGTGCCGGGATCCCGGGGATGGAGATGGGGAAAAGGGGGATAAAGCCGGGGCTAGCCGGGGGAGAGGGAGGGAATGAATGGAGCCTGTTCTTGTGTACAATTGCATCAAATACATTCTTGAAAGCAACCTGGTTCTGCTTAACACTTGAATTGGGAAAAAAAAAAAAAAAAAAAGAGGAAAGAAGGAGGCAGCAGCTTGGAGAGGGTGGATGCGAGCTCCAGTTTTTTTTGTGTGGTTTTTTTTTCCGCTTTTTTTTGGTGTGTTTTTTTTTTTTTTTTTTTGGGTTTTTTTTTTTTTTTTTTATTCCTGCATTCCTGGACCCCAATCAAAAGAGCAAATCAAGGGAGGTGGAAGGGGTAAACGGCGGCGAACGAAGCAGCCAGAGCGTGGTGCGAACCCTCCACACCCCAAAAACCCACCCAACCCGCCCCGGGTTTTTGTTGGTTTTTTTGTGTTTTTTTGGTTTTTTTTTTCCACTTAACACCCGAGCGAGCCCAAACCAAAACAAATAGAGACCGAGGGAAAAGAAAAAAAAAAGAAACCCAGAAACCAACCCCCCCCCCAAAAAAAAAAAAAAAAAACACCACCCAACCCCGAGAGCGAGCGAAGCAACGAGCCAGGGCTGAGGCGAGCGGGTGGGCTCGGGGTGCCGAGCAACAACCAAGCCCCTCCAAAATCCCCCTGCACCCCGACTATGCTAAATGTTACCGGGGAGCTCTCAGGTAAGCCCACGGCGCTGGGTGTGGGGCGGGGGGTGACCCAACTCCCCTGCCTGCATCTGCCGGGAGTTTTCTTTCCCCTTTTCCAAACCGACTGCTGATTTTAATTTGATGTGATTAAAACGTCTGTCTGGCTTTGGGATTGATTTAAGACTTTCCCCTCTCTAGGTTGGGTTGTTGTTTTTTTGGTTTTGTTTTTTTTTCCCCTTTCTCTCGTTCCCTCTTTTCCATGCATGTTTGTGATTACCAGGGAGGGAATCGCCGCTGAGCACGGAAAATTAAACCCCGGGACTGACAGAGGGGAGGAGAGGGAAAGTCGATGGGATTTAGGGGGGCAGGAAGAGTTAGCTTTCCTGCCCGGGGCTGGATTTCGGGGCTTGACTCCGAGCACCGTCGCTAGAGCAGGCGAGATTCCTCCGGGACACAGCAGCGGGATTTTGGGGTGCCGGGGAGGGGAGTGTCCCCACGGCCATGGGACGCTTTGTTCCCCCGGCCCGAGCGGCTCCCAGCACCCGTGGGGCCGCTGGGGGTCTGGCCTTCCCCGGGGCACACCGGGAATGGGGGTTCCTCGCCGGGAAAACGCTGGAAAACACCCTTAAAAGGTCACAGCGTGGGCGCCGCGAGGCTCCGCGGGGTCCCGGGCGGCGGGACAGGGGCCGGGGCAGCACGAGGCCGGCGCCGGGCTCGGCTCCGGCTCTCGCCGTGCCGGCGGTGACGCAGGACGGGCAAAGCGGGGCGAGCGCCGGGGAACCGGAAAAGCGAGGCCGGGATCCCTAGCGGCTCCATCGGCCTCCCTCGCCCCTTCCTCTCCCCTTTCCCGCTGCCGCCGAGGCCGCTGGACGTGGCCGCGCCGGTGGCACAGCCGCGGACCGGGCCCGCGGTGCGGGGGACGCCGAGCCCGGCGGGGCCCGAGCTCGGCCGCCACCGGCCGCCCCGACTCCGTTCCCTGTTTTTGGACATCCCCATTCGTGGGCTACCCGTCTCTCGTTCCCGGCGGGGCTCGGGGACGCTTGGCATCCCTGGTGTCCCCGTGCCTATTTAGCAGGCGGCGCGAGGGCACGGTGACGGCGGCACATCTGGGCTGCATTAGGCGCGGGCTCCGCAGGGAAATGCACAGGGCTCTGCTTACAGGGCCGCGCCGGGGAGAGATTTATGCCCTGCTAAGTGGCACCGAGCCCCATAAATCATCCCCCCAGCTTCCCCCCGCCGCGGCAGCGCCCGTGTCCCTCTGCCACCGTGCCTGCTGTCCCATGCCAGCATCCTGGCAGAAACGCGGGGCTGCGCTCGCCCCACTGTAGATGGGATATCAGGGAAGCAGGCAGCCCACCAGTGCTGTGGCCACGGGTGGCACGTGGCCCGTGGGTGCCAGAGGTGTCCTGGGATTCCCCAGCGTGCTGCCGGGACATGGGGATATCAGGGCACTGCCGGTCCCACGCTGACCTCGTGGCATCGTGGTGGGAGATGCCAGGGGTGGCAGTGGGTCTGGGCGTGCCAGGGTGTGTCACTCAGCGCTGTCACTGGTGGTCCCCTGTGCTGTTGTAGAGCTGCCACCCTGGCTCTGTGCTGGTGAACCCCCCCAAGTGGTACCAGGGGGGCTGGTGGTCTGTGTGGCTCCACGACCTGCGCCAGGAGTGGTGGGAAAGGATCGGGATGCCTCGTGTGGCTCGTGGGTGCTGGGTGTGCGTGCGGGGCAGTGGGGTCTGGTTGGGATTAGGGGCCTGCACCCCCCTCACCGGCAGGGGTGTTTCCATCATGCTGCTGGCTAGAGCTGGAGTCGGAGCCGGATGGGAAATCCAGGCCCAGCTAATTATGGCCTCGCTGGAGTCTCCCGTGCGCGGCCGCATTTATAAACACACGGAGGAGACAGGATGTAAACACTCAGCGCCGTGAGCGCAGGCATGAGGGGGATGCGGGGCCACGCGCCCCCCGTGCCCCAGCCCGCCCCTGGCATGGTGGCTTTGCCATGGGATGGGATGGATGGAGTGGGGACACCACTGTGGTGGCTGTGGCTGCTGTCAGGCAGCAAGGACACACGTCCTTCCCTGGGAGCTCAGGTAGTGCTGTGTTCATGATCCTTGGCTGTGGAATGTGAGCATCCTTGTGTCCCTGTCGGCTCCAAAGGGCTGCTGCTGTGCCCTGGTGTCACCTGCCTTGCCATGGCAGGGTTAAACACCAGCAGTGTGGGGATGCAGAAGTGTCTGTTCTTGTGCCCTTGAGTGTCATCCACTCCAAGACCCTTGGAGCTGACAGCCATGCTGGGCTGGGAAACGCCCCGTGGAGGGTTAAGTGACTGGGCCAGTGGGGACAGGGCTGCTTTGTCCTCAGTGCCACAGTCATTCCTGGCCACCACAAGGCCATGTTCTGGCCCCAGGAATGGGGCTGTGGGGCGGGATGGGGCTCTGCTCGCCGCTGGCCTCCAGCCCATCAGATACAGCAGCTCCTGCTGCAGCGGTGGGGGCCGGCTCAGCTCCATCCGCTGCCGGGGGGCTCTGGGGCCAGGGGTCCCCCTTTCCCGGCTGCCGCCCCCGCCACAAGGGTTTCGGGAAAGCAGCTCCGGGTGGGTTGTGGTCACTCAGCCTTCGGCAGCTCTGCCCACAGCATGCCCAGGGAACAGCTCACTGGCTCCCTGGCTGAATTCCTGCCTCAGACACTCGCCGGGAGGTCTGGCCAGCACTGCCGCCTGCGCCGCCAGGGGGGTGGCAGGGCGGGGGTCCTGATGGTGTCACCCCAAGGGCAGCCGAGCCATGTCCCCACTGCCACATGTGTGAGGGGCGCCTGTGGCACCGCCGGCGTGTCCAGTGTGGGTATCCAGGGCTGCTGCTGTTGGAGCTGGGGGATCCCCGCTCCCATGGCCCCCCATCACCCCGGCTCCCCGGGTGTCCCCGGGGCTGAGCGGGTGACTCCGGGCAGCCACGCCATGAGCTGCTTACGTGGGCTGGAAGCATCCTGGCTGCACTCCAGGGCCAGTTTTGAAACCCTCGGGCTCTTCCTCTCCGACATCACTGGGATCCAGCTGTGCCGGCTGGAGTCTCCCTCCTCCACTGTCTGTTCTGGTGGGTGCCCGGTGCCAGACACAGGGAATGGGGTGGGCAAGGGACAAGCAGGGGCACCTGCTATAGCTGGGCCACTGTCACTGCTATGTCGTGGGCACTGTCACTGCTATGCTGTGGGCCCTGTCACTGCTGTGTTATGAGCACTGTCACTGCTGTGTTGTGGGCCTTGTCACTGCTGTGCCATGGTCCCAGTCATCACTGTGTCATGGTCACTGTCACTCCTGTGTCATGGTCACTGCTACCACTGTGCCACTGTCACTGGTGTGTTGTGGGCCTTGTCACTTCTGTGTCATGGTCACTAGCACCCAGAGCCATCCATGCTGTGCCATGGCCACTGCAGTGCCACTGCTGTGCACCCCACCATTCCCACCTTCCAGTCACCCACCTCCACCCCCTTTCTCCCTCGTCCTCATCCTCGTGTCCCAGCTACTTGCCCGGGAGCTGCTGTGTCTCCATCCCCATCCCATGTCCCTGCCATTCCCCCCCCCTCCTGCTCTCTGGCTATGTTTGGTTTGGCGCTGGCTGGACCAGGGCGGGTGTAAATCCCGCCTGGAAACCAGAGCCGGCGGCGGGCAAGGGTCCGGCCAAAGCAAACACCAGGAAGGAGGGATATGGTGTGAGTCACCACAGCCCCCCCGCGGCCCTCCTGGCCCCGGCCCACGCTTGCACGCACGCGGGGCCAGCTGCATGCTCCACACACTGGGACACACCAAGATGCACCGGAACGCGGGCAAGCGGCGGCACGTGCCCTCCGTGGGGGCACTGGGCGAGGCATGGCAGGCGAGGGCAGGTGGCTGCCACGCACGGGAGCGGGGACACGTGGCGTCATGTGTGGGTGCGGGGTGTCACGTGCTGGTGTGGTGCATGCACAGCATGTCACACACACAGTGTGTCGTATGTGCGTGGTGTGTCACACACGTGGTGTGGTGTGTGCACCGAGTGTTGCCCTCTCAGAACGTGTCGTGGGTGCAGAGCCTATCACGGTGTGCTGTGTACACACGCAGCGTGTCATATGCACACGAGTGTCACTCACAGGATGTGTCCCGTACGCACAGCACGTTGCACACGTACCTGGCATGTCACACATGTGCAGTGTGTGCATGGCCACCCTTGCAGGTGCATCCCACACCTGTCACACACCTGTGTGGTACCCGACACGCCTATACGGTGTCCCAAACCTGTGCGGTACCCGACACAGCTATACGGTGTCCCACACCTGTGCACACCTATTGACACCTGTGTGGTGTCTCCCAGGTGTGCACAGCTTGTTCCACACCCATGGGGCGTCTCCCAGGTGTGATCACTGTCCTGCACATCCACAGGTACATCCCACGTGTGTCCTGTGTGCCCCCAGGGCAGTTGCATCCCACACAGCGTGGCTTGGCGGGTGCAGGGATACCCACCACAATGGGGCCACTGTGGCCAGAGCTGGGGTGTCCCCGAGGACCCTCATGCGTCACTGGTGGCCGGTGATGGGGAGCGGTGACGTGCGGGGGCACATGGGGGCTGCCCACCCCGGGAGGCCCGCGGTACCGAGCCGTGCCAGTGGCCAGTCTTTCCTGGGAAGAGCTGCTGGGAAGGCCGGCTCTGCTGTGCTGGGGTGCCAGCTGGCCGGAGCGTGCTGGCTGCGGGCCGTGACCTTTGCACAACCGCCGGCGCGCGAGGCCGTGGCTTCCGGGCCTCCCTGACGTCAGGCTGATGACAGGACCCTGCCGGCGCTTTCCGGTGGCTTTGGCAAAGGTCACCTCATGACCCAGAGCCGTGTCCCAACCCCCTGCATTGCCGGTGGCCCCTCAGCAGGGATTCCTGCTGGGTGCCCAGCCCGCTCTGGCATTGGCGGTGCCCAAATATATCCCAGGCGTGTGTCCCTGCGGGAATGCCGAGGCCGTGCTGCTCCAGACCATATAAAGGATTGTTGGTGCAGCCACGGGCGGGAGTGCTCAGAGGGGAGCTGGGGGGTCACTGCAGTGAAGGGGGGGTCTCTGCTGCTCCAGGAGGGGGTGCTGAGGTAGGGGTGCCCCCACCCTCCCCAAGCTCGTGCCTCAGTTTCTCCACTCTCAGAGGGGTAACACAGGGATACCCTGCGGGCCCTGCGCTGCCCACCCAGAGCCAGGCTGTCCCTGTCACCCACCCTGAGGTGCCGCGTGTCCCCCGCAGGCGACTCTTGGGGGATCTTCACCTTCCTGTGCGCAGCGCTCTGCAACCTGCCGGCGCTGCCGGCACTGAACTGCTCCGAGGAGCTGGGCACCGGCCAGTCCATCCAGCAGACCTACGACCTCACTCGCTACCTGGAGCACCAGCTCCGCACCCTCGCCGGCACCTACGTGAGTACCGCATGTTTACCCCCTCCTACCCCACCCCACCACCCCCCCGCACATCAAGATATCCACTCCGTGCCAGGCCGCTCCCATGCCGGGGGGCATGGAAATGCCTCATCGCCCGCCGGGCACAGGGCGGCTCCCCGGCCCCCTCTCCTCACCCTGATTCCATCATGGGTGTGGGCATCAGCCTCTCCCTCCCCACCGGCATTGTCAACTCAGATGGAGGTTCCCCGTCTCTGCCCTGACGTGCCCTTGGTGGTGCCGGCACGTTGGGAGCCAAGTGGTGACAGTGTCACTGCCTGGCATATGGTGGGAATGTCCCCCGTGGGGATGTGGTGGGAAGGGGGAGTGTGATGAGGAGGGGCAAATAGAGAGTGGGGATGTGGGAACCTTGGATATGGGGGACAAATACAGACTTGGGACACTGAGAACTGGGAGGGGAGGGCATGGAAAATGGGGACATGGTGGGCACGTCCATCTGAGGGACGTGGGACATGGGCAGAGGGACAAGGAGGCTGGGGACATGGTGTGCAGGGGGACACAGAAACTGGAAAAGAGGGGGACAGGGAGACCGGGGACATGTTGGGCATGTCAGCCTGGGGGTCATGGCAACATGGAGACAGGGGACATGGTGTGCAGCTGGGAAGAGGGGAATGTGGGACACAACAGACATGTCCACCTGGTGGACATAGGGCATGGGCAGGGGGGCACAGAGGCCTGGGAAAAAGGGGACATGGAGACTGGCGCCAGGGTGGACATGTCCCCTTGGGGGACATGGAGAACTGGAACCTGGTGATGATGGGGACCTGGGGGACATGGAGGCTGGGGACAGGGTGAACATGGAGACTGAGGCCATGAAAGGGGCACAGTCAACCTGGGGGACAGTGAAACCTGGGATGGGGGGGACGTGGAGACCTGGGCCACACTGGGTGTATGAACCTGCAGGGTGTGGACGGCTGGGACATGGTGGTCACAGGGACTTGGGACATGGCAGGCAGGAGTGCACAGAGACAAGATGAGGGGGGATAACCCCACACCCACATTACCCTCTGCTGCCTTCCAGCTGAACTACCTGGGGCCCCCCTTCAATGAGCCCGACTTCAATCCCCCACGTCTGGCGCGCGCCGAGCGGGTGCCCAGCGCCACGGTGGACCTGGACTTGTGGAGGGGCCTGACGGACAACGCCCGCCTGGCCGCCAACTACCGCGCCTACAGCCGCCTGCTGTGCTACCTGCGCGTGCTGGACGGGCAGGTGGGCACGGCCGAGCTGCGCCACCGCCTCGCCCACTTCTGTGCCAGCCTCCAGGGGCTGGTGCTCAGCATCGGCGGCGTCATGTCCTCCCTGGGGTACCCGCTGCCCGCCGGCCCTGCCGGGCCCCCCGCCGGGCCTCCCGAGGCCCCCCCGGCCCCCAACGACTTCCTGAAGAAGATGGACGACTTCTGGCTGCTCAAGGAGCTGCAGACCTGGCTCTGGCGCTCGGCCAAAGACTTCAACCGCCTCAAGAAGAAGGTGCCGCCCGCCGTGGTCACCCTGCGGCTGGAGGCGAGGGGGTTCTGAGCACCCTGCCCGTGCCCCCTCCCGCCTTGTGTTGGCGGGGTGCGGACGGGGCTCCTCACCCAGGTGCCCTCTCCACCACCAGTGTGCCTTGAGCAATGGGGTTCCTGACCCCAAAGTGTCACCAAAGCCACCCCACATCCCCTCTGTCACTGCAGTGTGCTGTAAGGGATGGGTCTCCCGACCCCAAGTGCCACCAAAGCCACCCCACACATCCCCTCTGTCACCACACTGTGTCTTTTAAGGGCAGGTCTCCTGATCCCAAAGTGTCATCGAAGCCACCCCACAGCCCCTCCCTCATCATACTGCGTCTTAAAGGGGCAGGGTCCCTTACCCCAAGTGCCACCACAGCCATGCCATGTCCCCTCTCCCCCACCAGTGTGCCTTGAGAGATGGGTCTCCTGACTCCCAAAGAGCGACCTTACAGCCCCTCTGTCACCACACTGTGCCTTAAGGGACGGGTCCCCTGACTCCCAGGTGCGCCCCCCGGGTGTCCCCACCCTTCCAGGGTGCCCCACGCCCCCACCCCAAGAGCTCCACGTGGGTACAAGCCCCACCCACCTCGAAAAGGACCAAGCCCCTCTGAGAATAGGAATAAGCCCCACCCCATCCAGCAGCAACTCCGCCCCTGGAGCAATAGGTTCCACCCCTGGATGGCAATAAGCCCCGCCCACTAGTCTATGTAGCCAACCCCGCTTCCTGTCCACAACAGGCCACGCCCTATTTTAACCGAAGCCCCGCCTCCCAGTGACCAACAATGCAGAGCTGGGGGCGTGGCCTGGATCCGGGGCCGGGGCCGCTGTCCTGGTGCGTCTATGAGTGTTTATTTATTGGAGATGTTTTATTTATTGGGGTATTTATTGCAGAAGATCTATTCTTGTATGAACGAATAAAAGCCTTTCTCCAGCGCCTCCGCCTCATCCGCGCCGCACCCCCAACGGGGGCTGTCGGCAGGGACCAGGGTGAAAAATCATGCAAACCTGAGCTCAGCGGGGACCAGGGTGAACAGATTTAAATCTGAGCTCAGTGAGGCAGTTAGAGTGTTCCACCCTGGGCCATCAGTAGGAAGCAGGGTGAACTGCTCCAGACTCCAAGCTCAGTAGGGACCAGAGACAACAGCTCCTCACTGACCTCAATGTGCAAGTCGGGATGTTCCCATCAGTACCATCGGTAGGGACCAGAGTGAATGTCCCACACTGAGCTCAGTGTGGCAGTCTGGCTGTGCCCCTTTGAACGGTGGTTAACGGGGTAGGGATCCAGCCCCGCCCAGGCCCAGGTAACCCCACCCCGAGCACACCCCCCTGCTTCCCGGGTGCTACTTGGGGGTTCCCACGATCATGTAGAAGGTTCCGGGCTGTGTGACGAAGCCGATGGCCGTCAGGGCACTCAGCGAGGCCGCGTTGTGGGGCAGCACGGCGCAGTAGATGGGGAAGCCGCGGGCGTGCAGCCTCCGTCCCATGGCGCCCAGCGTGATGCCGGTGAGGCCGCGGCCGCGCCAGGCGGGCACCGTGTAGCCGTGGCGCAGGCAGCCCTGGGCGTCCAGCAGGCTCCAGGACACGGGGCGCCCCCGCGGGTCCAGCAGGCAGGCGGAGGGCAGGGTCCGCACCAGCCCCAGCAGGAACTCCCGGCTGCGGGCATTGCCCCCCAGGGCCCACGTGGCGTTGAGCAGCGGGACGTGGGACGGGGACACGGGGGCCAGGCGCAGGCCCGGGGGCAACCTGCGAGGGGGCATGGCAGGAGTGCGGAGTGCTGAACCCCACGGCCGCAAGGGATGGAAGCTGGGATGGGGCTGAGGTCCCCTGTGCCACCCAGGGGGTGGGGCTGGAGGTGCCTGTGTCACCCAGGGGGATGTGCTCAGGGACCCCTGTGCCACTCAGGGGTGTGCTCAAGGGGACAGACCCCTTGTGCCACGCAGGGATGGGATTGGGGATGCCAGTGTCACTCAGGAATGTGCTCAAGGAATCCCTGTACCACCCAGGAATGGGACTGGGGACCCTTGTGCCACCTAAGAATGAGTTTAGGGACCCCTGTGTCACCCAGGAACCCCCTGTGACACCCAGGAACGTGACTGGCCCCCCAATGCCCCTATGTCCCTGGTGCTTGTGTGTCCCCCGTACCCCCGTGCACTCCAGTGCCCCCACACCCCCCAAGTGCCCCCACACCCCCCGGTGACCCCGGTATCCCTGTGCCTCCGGTGCTGTCACTCACTGTCCACGGGGTCGGGGGGGCTCAGGGCTCATCAGTGCCAGGTACCGGATGATCTCCACCTGCAGCCCCTTGGCACCGGCCACCTCCTGCACGGCCTCATCCAGCCCTTCCTGCATCCCTGGGAGACACTGTCAGCTGGGCAGGGGACAGCAGGTGGTGTCCCTGTGTCCCTCCCAGGGCCATCCTTACCCAGTATCTGGAAGGCTCGTGCCTGGACCGCCGCCTCGGTGCCCCCCAGAAGTGCCCGCAGGGCCCCCTTGTCGCGGTAGAACGTGGCCAGCTGGTTGGTGTAGTGATCCCTGGGGTCCTTGTGCTCCTGGAGAGTGGACGGTGGGGGGCTGAGGGTGGCACTCCAATTCCCAGCCCCCCGGGGTGTGGGGTGCTGCCAGGCTGGAGGCACACAGGGCAGCACCTCTGGGCGCAGGCGCGTCAGGACGATGCCAAAATTGGGCCAGGAGTCCACCAGCACCTCGTGGGCGGCTGGGTTCCCCCGAGCCACCGTCATCACAGTCCCCAGGACCTGCAGAACAAGGTCCCTGTCACCGGCAGGGAAGGGGAGAGGGAACAGTGGGGTTCCCAGAGTCCCCAGGGTCTCCGTCACCAGCAGGGGAGAGGGAGCAGTGGTATCCCCCAGGGTCTCCGTCAGTGGCAGGGCAGGGGAGAGGGGACAGAGGGATCCCCAGAGTCCCTGTGACTGGAAGGGCGGAGCAGAGGGGGAAGGCAGAGGTGGCCCCAGATCCCTGTCACGTGCAGGACGAGGCAGAGGGGACAGAGGGGTCCCTGGAGTCTTTGTCACTGGCAGAACAGGGCAGAGGGGACAGAGTGGTCCCGAGGGTTGCCATCACTGGCAGAACAGGAGGGGAGGGACAGAGGGGTCCCTGAGGTCCCTGTCACTGGTAGGACAGAGGAGAGGAGACAGAGGGTCTCCTGGGGTTCCCATCACTGGCAGAACAGGAGGGAGGGGACAGAGGGTTCCCTGTGGTCCCTCTCATTGGCAAGGCAGAGGGGACAGAGGGGTCCCTGGGGTCCCTTTCACCGGCAGGGTGGTGGGCAGGCTGTTCCGCAGGGTCTCCTCCAGAAGATGCAGCTGGGCTGGGCATCTCAGGATCTGCATGGCACCGAGACTGTGGGGCAGGTGGTGACACCGAGGATCCGTGGGGCTCTGGTGGCACTGGGACAGAATGTCCCAGATGAGCACCCGTCCCCAGGCAGCCCCAGGGCTGGCCCCATGCCCAGTGCCCAGCAGGATGGACCCTGCCCGATGCCTCCCAAGGCAGGGGGCACTCACTGGCCTGTGACGGCTGGTGGTGACCCTGGGACCCGCTATTGTCACCACTTGCCACACGGTCTCCAGACTCCCACTCCACAGCCCCCTGGGACTCTCAGCCTCAGGACTGTTGCAGGGTGAGTGCTGGAGGGGCTGGAGACCACCCAGGTCTGGGGATGGTGACAGGGCTGGGGGCCATACCTGGGGGTCCTGTTCCTCTGTTATTGAGGGTCTCTTGGCAGGACCATGCAGATCCTGACAAGCCTAGCCCAGCTGCAGCACCTGGAGGGGATCCTGAAGAAGAGCCTGCCCCTCGCCCTGCCGGTGACTGGGACTCTGCTGTCACCCCTGCCCTGTGCCCTGTGCCACGCTGCCCTGCCAGTGATGGGGACCCCACTATTCACCCCTGCACCAGGGACCCCAGCGTCACCCCTGTCCCTTGCCCTTCTGGTGACAGGGACTCCCTGTCTCTCACCTGAGTGGGACCCTTGTGGCACCTCCCCACTCTCACTCCACCAGGCCCAGGGACCCCCATGTCACACCCCAGTGATGGGGACCCCCATGTCACCAGGATCCCTTGTGTCACCCTGACCCCACACCTGCCCCCCTTCCCCTCCTCTCTGACCCTGCCCACATCTGCTCCCATAACCCCCCAGTTCCAGCCCCACATCTGCCCCCACAACCCCCCGGAATTCTGACCCCCCCAGCTTTGACCACACACCTGCCCCCCATCGCTGACCCCTGCTCTCCCCCAGGTGTATGGGGCGGTGCTGAACATAACGCGGGGGAACCCGGGCCAGTCCGAAGTGCTGGTGGACAAGTGGCCCGAATTTGGCGCTGTGCTGGCCCGTCCCAGAGGAGAGGTGGCCCACGGGGACATGGGGTGCTGCAGGGAAAGGGGGGGGATGAAACGGTGCCCTGGCACCTGCCAGGTGTGCTCAGGGCACCGCTGGGTGCCCCCAGGTGCCGGTGAACGATGGCTACTGGAACACGCAGGCAGCATTCTATCAGGATTTGGGGGCGTACCGGGCACTGCTGGAGACCCCTGGGTGCCAGCGCTGGGACGCCGCCTTCACTGTCATCGGTGGCCTGGGGGCATGGGGATTCTAGGGGGCACTGGGGGCATGACTTGATGTGCTGGGGTGGGGTTTGATGGGTGCTATCAATGGGAAGTAATTGGGGCTGAATTTAGGGGAGGCTACTGGGGGTTGGACTTGGGGTGCTGGGTACACTGGGAGCAGGGTCCTGGGCAGCAATGGGGAGTACTGGGGTTGAATTTGGGGGTGTTGGGGGCAGAGGAGCATCATGATTGGATTGGGGAACGCTGGAGGGCACTGGGGGCAGGAATTGGGGTGCTGGGCACACTGGGGGGACAGTCCAGAGGGACATGGGGAGTATTGTGATTGGATTTGGGGTTCTGAGGAGCACTGTGGTTGGACTTAGGGGTGCTGGGGGGCACTGGGGAGCGTGGTGCTTGGATTTGGGGGGGTGCTGGGGGGCTGTGGTTGGACTTCAGGGTGCTAGGCCCAGTGGGGACAGGGACTGGGGTGCTGGGGATAGAGACTGGTATTGCAGGTATCCCTGGGGGACACTGAGGAGAACACTGGGTTCACATAGAGTGGGCTGGAGGCAGAAATGGGGGTGCTGGGGGAGCGGGACTGCCTGACATCACCATCCCCAGGGCTACAGGATGGGGTGGCCACGGTGTCACAAGACCTGGCGAGGACCAAAGGTGTGGAGCTGGACATCGTTGAATATTACACCTACGTGCACCCTGACCCCAGCACCATGCCCAAGCCCCGGTGAGACCCCCTGCACCCCATCCCTGCACAGGCACCCCCCGAGCCCCCCACTAACCCGCAGCTCCCCCAGGCTGGACCCCAGTGTGCGGGTGGGCTCCCTGCTCCCCTCACACGTGGACCTGCTGAATGAGACATGGCCCTACGGAGGCAATGCCCGCAGCCGGCGCTACCTGGCCGAGCTTTTGGAGCACTTCCCTCACGTCTGCCTGCAGGACAGCACCGGGGAGCCCATCAGCTGGGTGCTGACTGACCATTTTGGGACGGGCACCCACAGCTTCACGCTGCCTGTGCACCGCCGGCGAGGCCACATGCAGGTGGCCCTGACGGTGGCAGCGCAGCGGGCACAGGCCAGGGGGTTCCCCACTTTCGGGCACACGGCGCTGTGGAACCGGCCCATGCAGCAGCTGCAGGAGCTGCTGGGCCACCAGCGCCTGCCGGGGACCTGCTGCTACATCCTGCACAACCCCAGGATGGACAAGGATGGGCCCTGAAGTCCTGCTGTCCCCTCCCTGGGGCAGAGGTGTCACCAGGCCGTGGGACAAGGGAGAAAAGCCACCCCCAAATTAAAGAGTGGTGTGAAGGCTCTGATGACTTCTGTGGGGTTGTGTCTCCCTCCAGCACTGACCGTTGTGGCGGTGACACAGCTTGATGGCTCTCGTGTCATCTCCCCTGGGAGACACCCAGTTACAGGACACGAATCTCAGCTATTCTTGGCCTCCCCAGGGAGGGCCTCAGGCAAATGGTGGCACCTGCAGTGTCACCCCCCCATAGGATGGTGTCAGCACAGCTGGGGGTGGGATGGGCAGGCACGGCAGCTGTGGGTCACCGCCTGGGCTTCCTGGTGGGAACAGACAGTGACACACGGGACACAAAGTGACGGTTTCACGGAGTGAGTCAAGGCATGGGGGGGTGATGGGAACTGACGGGGAGGGTGACAGTGCCTGAGGTGATGGGGAGTGCTGGGATGTGGGTGACAATGTCCAGGGGCACAGTGAGGGCCATGGGGGTGACTGTGGTTGGGGGTGTTAGGGACAGATGGGGAGGTGACAGTGTCCAGAGTGATGGGGAATGCAGGGGTGGGGTGACAGGGACCACTGGGATAGAGGTGCCAGTGCCTGTGGGGGATAGGGAGAGCCACAGGGATGACAGTTCCTGGGGGTGATAGTGACATCTGAGGGAGTGACACTGTACAGGGTGTTGGGGACTGCCATGGGGTGACAGTACCCAGGGTGACAGTGTCTGGGGTGATGAGGACCACCAGGATAGAGGGGTGACAGTGGCTGGGGTAACAAGAACTGTAACGGGGACAGTGTCTGGGGGTGGTAGGGACAACTTGGGGGGTGACAGTGCCCGGGGACAGCCGTGGCGGGGTGTCAGCGCCCAGGGGTGCGGGGGACCGGGACCCCCGCGGGAGTGGCCGTGGCCGTGGCCGTGGCCTGTCCCCCAGCGCGGCCCCGCCGCTTCCGCCCAGGCCTGGCAGGGAAGGGGTGGGTCCCTGTCGGTTCCCGGTATGGGCGGGTCCCGCCCTGTTCCCGGTGTTGCCGGGACCGTGGCCAGCTCCATGTCCCGCAGGGCCATGGGGCAGCCCCGTCGCATCACCGACTCCTTCCCGCGGCGGCGGCAGCAGCGGGGCCCGGGGCGACCCCCGGGCAGGCTCAAGGAAAAGGACAAGGACAAGGCGCAAGTGAAGGCGAAGGTGCGGGACTGCCCCCGCGCCCCCTCGCAGCGACCGCCGGACCCGGCGCTCCTGGAAATGCTGCGGCGCTTCGACCTCTGCTGGGAATACGGACCCTGCACCGGTGAGCACCCCCGGCCCTGCCGGTGGCCCCCGGGCTGCCCCGGCCCCACTGACCGCGCTGTCCCGCAGGGATCACCCGCCTGCAGCGCTGGGAGCGGGCACAGGCGCTGGGGCTGAGCCCCCCCGGCCCCATCCGGGACGCGCTCCTGGAGCACCGGGACAACCCCGATGTCACCTACAGGTGGGTGCGGGACGGGTGGAGGACGCAGGGCACCCCCCCTGCCGGTGCTCCCCACCCCTCCCGGTGGCCTCTGACCCCGTTTTGCCCCCACAGCCTCTGGCACGAGTACGAGCTCTGAATCACTGCGCCGAGGGAAGAGAGGGGGAGCCGTGCCCGGCACCCCCCCGACCCCCATCGTGGGGGAGCGGAGGAGGGGGTGCGGTGTGCTGTCGGATGGGGGGGCACTGGGTGGGGTGATGCCCCTTGGGGCGCTGGGGGAGGGCGGGAGGTTGTACCCCTTCCAAAATAGCTAGGGAGGGTGTCCAGTTGTTGGAACCCCCTTCTGTTTCCCCCCTCACTTCGGGGGTGTCCCTGCTCCCCTGAGCCCCCCACACTCCCCAGGGGATCCTGATCCACAGTGAGGGGCTCAGCTGTCCCCCTGTCCTTGAAGAAAAGGAAGAGGGATGATTTCACTGCTGTGTCACCCAGGAGGGGCTCCAACACCTTGGAGAAACAGGATAGGTGGACCCATCCTAGGTAACCACATCAGGAATCCCACAGGAAATTGAAGTTACCTAGGTAGCCAGAGCAAAAACATGGAATTTGAGCATGGATGGAACAAGACTGGGACCCAGGGAAAAAAACCCAATCAACTATTAGGTTGCAGAAAGGGAGGTGGAAGCGTAGCAAAAAAAGTTCCAAAAATGGAAAAAAAAAAGAATTGAGTAAGAATTAACACAGGGGGGTATTATGAAACTAGGGATGCAGGTAACTGTGGATTGTACTGCTGTTGTTGCACTGTTTGGCAGTAGGGAGGGAAGAGTGGACAGTGTCCCGTGAGATTCATACAATTCAGAGCCTTAATTAGCAGCTTTGATGTGTGCAGTCATAAAGTAATAATGGGGATGTCTGGTAATTATTTAGGTTATTGGCGACTTTATTCATTAGCTCTTTCTGTTGCTTAACCAATAAAATCTTTCGTTTCTATCCCAAGCCTGCAATGGAGTGTCAGAGTCGGGAGTAACCGGGGATAGGGTGGAATGGGGTGGGATGGGTGGAGGGCCATGGTGGGGGGACGGGACGCCATGATGGGGGGGGCGCCCGGCCTGGGGAACTGCAGGCTCCCTGCCTCGCTTCACTGCCGGGCCCCGAGACTGCCTCGGTCCCAGTTCCGGCCCCGTTTCCACCCTTAATTCCATCTCCGATTCCAGTCCGAATTCCGGGCCTAGGCCGCAGCGGTTGCCATGGCAAGCCGGAAGCGGAGACCCCCGCGCACGGCGATCCGCGGCGCAACCCCGCACAGCTGAGCCCGCCACCCGCACCTGCCTGGTCCAATCAGCGCTCGGGAACCGCGGCGCCTCCGCCAATGGCGAGCCGGGGGGGGTACAGAGCGGCTAGCGCGGCTGCGGCTGTTTGTGCGTGAGGGCTGAGGGTGGGGCCGCTGGGCTGGGCTGGGCTGGGCTGGGGGCAGAGCGCGGTGTGCTCTGTGCCCGTGGAACGGGGGAGCTGGGCGGTGTTTGGGTGCGCGCTGGGCTGGGCTGCGGGGGCTGGGTAAGCCCGTTCCCTGCCGGGGAGCCCCGGGGGGAGCCGTGGCGGGGCTGAGGGGCTGTTGCTCTCTGGGTGCATCAGGGTTTGCCTCGGAATTCCAAAACCTTTCCCCGTGCAGGGCTATGAAGCAAAGACTCGTCTCACTTTGTTGGTGCTGCATTAATGCTTTTTGCTCCTTTTCCAAAGAAAGAATGAAGAAGGGAACTCGGGCAGCAGCCAAGCAACACCAAGTTACTCTGCAACCAGGTGAATTGCCTTGAAGTTGATAAGGTGGTGACTTAGAACTTTGGGGGCTCCAGGCACAGGTGACCACCAGAGACCCCCAATGTAGCCACTGAGAGGCCTTATAAGGGGGTGTGTGTATGGTAACAGGTGTTCGGGAATGTCCTGGATTCGGAAGAGGAATGCAGGGAACAAAGTGAACCCTCATGTAATGCTGAGCCCTCCCATCAGCTGCAGTGGAGACACCTCTGTGTGCACTGTGGGAGCTGATTGCCACGACATCCAGAGGGCTGGGATGATTGCAGGGTGTTGTAAGCAAGGAATGCCTGGCTTCTAAAACTCCCCAGCTGAGTCTTAGAGGCTTCTTTGCCGAGCTGTTTTCAGGCAGCCAAATGGGCCCTCAGCAGGGACTCTGTGCCTGCTCTCCCGTGGTTCCAAGAGATCCCAGGGCCTTCACGCCAGCACCGAGATGTTCTCGGGAAGGCCCTCAGATCCCCGGAGCAGTCTGGGACACAGGCACGATCCTCCTGCATTTTGGGAGCAGATTGGGCCCCCTGGAGGGACAGTGCTGTTGGTGCCCCCCGGGCTCAGAGACCCCAAGGACACGAGCGCGCACCAAAAGGATTCTTTGGGGAGTTCCTCTGGGTGCCCCAAGCTGGGGAGCTCAAAGCAAGGTCCCTGGAATGGATTCAGGCATTCCTGGGAGTATCAGAGCTGGCCATGGAGCTCTGGAATGGACTGTAACTAGGTTATAAAAGTGGTGCTCCGACTGCAAAAGAAGTGTGGGATTGGGATTAAGCAGTGATGGTACCATTGGCTGTTTTCTCTTGAGTGGAATTGTGAGAGCTGCAGGAGTGCAAGGTGTGGGTTCCAGTCCCCACCATTTGGTTTGCACATGTCCTGGTCAGACACAGTTACAACTTCCTCACTCCTTAACACAATAGAAGGAGAATTATGGAATTGCACTGTGAAGGTGATTGATTGTGACAGGGGTTAAACTGGGAAAACAATGAGTAATTCCTCAGTTTCTCTTTGCCAAACTCACCCAAACCTCTGCTAGGAAGAGATTGGTTGGAAAAGTTGAGGCAGAAATGAAATTGAAAAATGGGGAGATTGAAATTGTAATTCCTGAAACCAAATGTGTGAGAGCAGTAGCTCTTCTTGTGCAGGGAATAACTCCTGTCAGCAGCACCGTCCTGACTGAAGTGGCAGGTGAAGTTGTTCGTGTTGTGTGGGCCAGTGGAATTCCAGGAAACTGGACCAGGGCAGAACCTTTAATAATTATCCCTAAGCCAGAGTCTGTACTGGTAAGGCAAACCCAGTATGCTTTAAAATTGAGAAGCCAAGTTGGATTGGTTCCTGTAACAGCCAAGTTTGGTAATCATGGTTTGAGAGTAGAATGTGAATGCAAGAACCTGTAAAGAAAGGAAATGGGAAAGATGATTGATTCCTGGGAGCAAGGGCTGACAGACACTGGCAGTGGATGTTTGGTTGTGGTTGGCAATGAGCAGCTTGACCTCCCCATGGTTGTCTGTGCTGGCTGTGGGTTTGGGTCCTGTCTGGCCACAGGTCTGTGCAGCAGCTGGAGCCTGGGCAGGTTTGGGGGCTGTGGTGTCCCAGCCTCTGAAGTTTGTTGTCACTGTTTCCTTTCAGTGGCAAAGTGTTCCTGCTTGGCTGTTTGTTGCCCTGCAGCCAGAAGAGCCCAGCCCTGAGATGGCTCCGTGTTGGTGTGAGCCACAGTCGGTGTCACCTGCCCTTGGGACAGTGCCCAGAGCTCCCTTTGCCATCCCCTGCTGCAGGGTGGGAGCTGCACAGAGCCAGCAGCGTCCAGCTGGAGGATCCAGGAGGATGCAGCTCTGCTTTTCTGGGAGGTAAGAGGTGAGGATGCCGGAGCTGGAAGGAAGTGTTTTCCAGGCAGAGGGAGGGAAGGAGCAGGGAGAACTGCAGCTCCCAGCAGCTCGGTCAGTGCTGGCTGAACTCGGGGCTGGGAAAGGTCACTCAGTGTGAGGGCAGGTGAGAGCCCAGGGTGGCCCTGGGAGCCCTGGGGCTGTGAACAAGTCCAGTGGGCAAAGGAATGGACACTGGAGAGCTGGGCAAACAGCTGGAGGAGTTTCAAGGAGAACCAGGAAACTGGACAAGCTGCAGCAGCTCCTTCTGTGTGTGTGTGTGTGTAGAAGCAGCTCTAGTGCAGCCACGAGTGAGGTGGGAAATGAACCTCAGGAGGCTGGGAATGAGTCCCACAAGCTGGTTACAATGGGATGGACTCTTCCCAAGCGACTGAAAAGCTTTTTTGTTGTTGTTTTGCTTTATAAATTGCAAACTGAAGTGACTGTTGAGCTGTTGGTCCTTGTTGTCCTGTGTCTTTGGTGAGGTGTTGGCTCAGTACCTTTATTGGAGCTGCTGTTGGATGTCCCTAACTGACCTGTAAGGTTCTGGCTTTCTTCCCTGCTTCTCCCAGCTTGTCCAGGAGATGGAATTCCAGTGCTACCTTACAGATGGCTCGTGGTGCTCCCTAAAGGAGCCTTTCTGCCTTCAGGGCAAGTTCCGATGCCACTGGAGCTGTTGGGAGAAGCGGAGGGTTGACAGTGACAGGCCTGGAATGCTGTTGCTGTGGCACAGACGTTGCTCACTGGCAGGTTCTTGGGTTGGATTCCTTGGCTGCCACTTGGCAAGGCCTGGAAGGGCCTCAGTTGTGTAGGGAAAGCAAAGCAGGGGAGGTTCTGGTTTCAGAGAGAATCATTGAATTTTCCCTTTCTGCAGGGACACTGAGCTGGTCCAGCTGTGCCAAGAAGAGCAAGTGGGCTGTGAAGGTTTGGAGCAGTCTGGAAGGTTCCTTTTGCCCAAAAGATCCTGGCAAGTGCAGCCCTGGAAGAGTCAGGAATAATGAAAAGTGTCCCAGTTCTCCTGAAGCTCAACTTTGTAAAACATTCATGAAGATCAAATTCCTCAGCAACGAGCTGTTGGGTCCCAAATACTCTTGGAGGGAGAGGCAGAAACTCCCCCTGGTGCTGGGGCTGAACTGTCTGCAGTGACCAGGCAGGACTTGGCCCTGATGCCTGAGTGCTCTCCAGTGCTCCAGGCTGGCTCCCACCTGTCAGCCCCTTGCTCCATAACTTGAGGAGAGAGTGTTCCTGCAAGCCCAGCTGCTGTGTTGGTAGTCCTGTGTGCACCTCTTGCCCTGGCCTGCTGTGACTGTATTTGTGTTGCAGCTCAAAGTCCATAAGTGGTGATTGTGTGACTTTGGTGTCCGTTCCTCTTCCCCTTGCCCAGGGGCTGCATCACTGACTTGTGCCTAAATGAACTCTTGCCCTGCAGCAGTTCTCTCTTGCTCTCAGAGATGTTGCTCTGAGCAAAGGGCAAAAGGCTCCATCCAAGCCGGGCCCGTGCTCCCCTCCTGCATTCCTGCAGCATCCCCTGTTTGCAGTTGCCATCACTGCTGGACATACACCCTGTTCCTGAACAAACTCCCTTGCTGTTCTCTCTCTGGGTCTCCCCTCACAACTCCCCTCCTCTGATGCTCCAGGTGCCAAGGCACTCCTTTTTGAGTGGCACTCCTGCTCTGCTTCCCCCCCATTCTTTATAAATCAAGAGCCAGGAGCCCCAAGTGCTGAGGGGGCTGCAGGGAGTAAGTGGCAATGCCTGCCTTTGTCTCCCTGTGTTCCCTGCAGTTCTCCTGCCAGTTCTCCCCTGGGCTGGAGAGCCCTGCCTGGCCTGTGTTTATGGGAGGAGAGTGATGTTATTTGTCCAAAAGGTGTGTTTGTGGGCACTCATTTTCTGACAGGCAGCGCCCTTTTCCTATTGCCTTTCCCAAGTTTTCCCAGGTGCTGCCCAGCATGGGCCTTGGTGCGCTGGGACAGTGATTGCCAGGAGGAAAGGGAGCCTTGGCCTCAGCTGCCCAGCTCAGGTGGGTGGGACAGGATTGGGGTGGCCTGGCAAGGCACGAACATATTTCTGAGTTCTGGGGTGCCTTGAAACCTTTCCCTGTCAGGTTTCTCTCCCTGGTTTCCTGGGGTCCAGCATCCCAGGTGTCTCTTCCTTTGTCCAAAGTCCAATGGCAGAGGACTGAATAACTCACAAGGGGGGTTTGGAATGAAAAGGGTTCTGTTCCAATTAGGCAAGGAATGCAGTAAGAAAGATGAGCCTCCTTTGAGTGCCTGAAACAGAGAGGAATAAAAATGCTGGAAAAGGTCACACTTTCTTTGGTGCCCCCCTGGATTTCTCATTGCTGCAATAGTGAGCAATCAGAACAGAAGGGTGAAGGACAAGACCCTTTGAGTTCCCCAGTGCACTTAACTGTCTTGTTCTCTTTTTCAGGACAGGCCAAAGCCCTGAATTCAACCCAGCTCTGCCCAATGCCTTGGGGTGTGAGTGGCCAAAAGCAAGAGGCTCCAGCCCTGCTGGCAGTGCTGGGGGCTCCTGGTCCTGCCTGGGGGGTGGGGTAAGTCAGAGGGACATGTTTCCTTTCTCCTGCCTGTTGGCATTTGCTCCCTGGGCAAGGGCTCTTTTTCCCACTGCAGGCTGGTCCTTGCCGTGTGTGCTGGGAAGGGTGGAGAGGAAGGGGCAAAGGGCCGGGTGATGGTGGGGTCCCAGAGCTGTGGGGTTGGGCTGGGCTGAGAGGGGCGTGGGTGAGCCTGAGCATTGGTTTGGGGGTTCAGGAGCCTGGGGGGTGTTTGCAGCTCTGCCGGGGCTGGAGCTGGGCTGGGCCGTGGGACAGACACAGGGGAGCTGGGGAGGGTTTGGGACTCCCTGGAGGGAAAGGGGGGCTGGATGGGCTGGATGGAGCCATGGGCTCGTGCTCGTGGGAACACACTTGTCCAGGACACTGGGATCCGGTCGAACTCCAGTTCCCCTCGTGCCCAGGGATACATGGTCTGGGGACTGGATTTCCCTGGGGGTTTGCAGGAAACCAGGAATAGGAGCAGCATCCCCATGGGTATTAATGATGTGCCCTGTGCCCACCACTCACTGTTCACCCAACTCAAACCAAAGCAAGTCTTGGTTTGTTTTAAAGACCTTCCAATAACTTTAAAGTAAATCACTTTTTTCTTCTGTTTTTCTTTTAGATGATGGAGTTACCTCTCTGGATGTGTGCTGAGCTCTGGCTGCAACCGTCTGCACTGGGCACTCCCTGGGCCTTCCTTCCTCAGCAGCCCTGTGGGACGAGACAGAAGAGATGTGAGGTAAACTGGAGTAATCAGTAGTGGACACATAGGGAAAATTTGGTGGGGGGAAATATCTGAGGCAATCTCCACGGCAGAGAATGAATCTTTGGAGGTCAAAAAGAGATAATCAGTAGTGTGCATGTAGAGAAGCCTTTGGGGGTTAAAAAGGAGGTAATCTCTATGTGAGAGAATGATCATTTGGTGTTCAAAAGGAGGTAATCAGAAAATTGTGGGTGTTAAACTCCAGGTAATGACCTGGGAAGGGAAGGAATCTGTTGAGGTAAAGATGAGGCACTGGGTGGAGGACAGGTAGGGAAAGGTTTGAGATCAGCTGAGGTGGTCTGTGGGGTGGAGAATGACCCTCTCTAGGTACAAATGAGCTGCTTAGACATGGATAGGTGAGGAAAATGTTGGGAGTAAAATCTGGGTCAATCTGTCACAGAGAGAACAAATATTTTGGGGTAAAGTGAGGCACTCAGTGATGGGCATGGAGGAAAGATGTTTGTTTGTAAAATGCGAGGTCATGTGGAGCAGAGAGAATGTACCTCATGGGGTAAACTGGGGTGATCAGTTGTGAACATCTGGAGGAATGTAGGGGTAAAACTTGAGGTAACTTCCAGGGCAGAGAATGAATATTTTAAAACCTTGAGGTTTAGAATGAGATTATCTCCAGGGGAGAGAAAGGACATCAGGAGGTCAACTGAGGTGAGCAGTGATGGGCAGATGGGGACATTTAGGGTGGAAATATTTGAGGTCATCTGCAGGGTCTAGTGTGAACACTGAGAGGTGCAGATGAGGCAATCAGGAGTGGAGACTCCAGTGGGCCCAGGGAGGACTCTGGTGGTAAAATGTGTGGCCATGTCTAGCAGAGAGAATGAACCTTTTGGGATAAACTGAGGCAGTCATTAGTGGACAGGTGAAGCTTCAGAAACTCTCCAGGGTAGGAAATGAATATTTGGAGGTGAAAATGAGGTAGTCAGTAGTGTGCAGGAGGGGTAAAAATCTGAGGTACTCTCTGGAGGAGAGAATAACTATTTTTGTGTTCCAGAAGAGGTAATTAGTAGTGGGTTGAAAGGGAAAACTTTGGGGGTTCAAAAGGAGGTTCATTTTCTCCAGGGGAGTGAATGAACATACTGAGGTAAGCTGAGGGAATGAGTGGTGACAGACACAGAGAATTGTGGGTGGTAAACTCCAGGTAATGTCCTGGGAAGGGAAGGGAAGGAATCTGTTAACTGAGATTCTCTGCAGGGGACAAGTAGGCAAATGCTGGGTGAGGCTGGAGGGGCTCCTTTGTGGTGCGGCTGCAGCGAGGCTGAGCCCTGGCCCTGACTGTCCAGGCCATGGGCAGGGGGCTCTGTGCCAGCCAGGGGAGCAGCGGGGCCCCTGAGGCAGAGAGGGCAGGGGGGCTGTGGAGCTACCCTGGGAGGAGCGGGGGGGAATTTCTTGGGCCACTGCCTCCGGCCCCCCTCAATCCCCAGGGCTGCAGTGCCAGCAAAGGCTGTTCAGAGCAGAGAGTGCTGAGAGCTCCCTGTGCCTGTCCCCAGCCTGGCACTGTGCACAGGGACACACTGGGCAAAAACCATTACGGGGAACAAAAGTGCTTCCTGCCAGAGGGTTTGTCCTGTGCAAATCAGTCCTGGGCAGCAACTGGACTTGGGACATCCATCAGCTGCTCTTCCCCCAGAAAGCACCATCCCCGTGGGCATTAATGACATGCCCTGTGCCCACCGCTCACTGTGCACCCAACTGAAACCAGAGCAAGTCTTGCTTTGTTTTGAAGAACTTTAAATACCTTAAAACCAAAATAACTTACCTCTTCTTTTTTTTTCTTTTAGATGATGGAGTTGTCTCTCTGGATGTGTGCTGAACTCTGGCTGCAGGGGACTGTCAGGCCTTGGTGGCAGTGAGTTCATGTTCTTCTCACTGGGAAATTGGAAGTAGTTATGAATTAGATTGCAGAAATGTTTTCTGAAACTTTTCCCCTTCTTTCTGCCTTTTGCTGGTAGATCTTCTCTTTCTGCCTTTGAATTCACAGCCTCCTTGCAGCTCCCAGCTGGGAAAACCTGGGGTGACTCAGTGGGGACAGAGGTGACATTTTTATCTGAAAACTTGGGGTAATTTCTAGGAGAAAGATAGGGAATGGGGGACTGGCTTGTGTAGAATTCACCTAGAAAGTAAAACAGGGGGATTGTTGGAGGATCTGGCTCCTTAGGGAACCTGCTGGGAGTAGAGAAGCACAACCCCAAATCTCCAGCTGTGTGAGTGGAGTCGTGGAACGTAAACCAGCACAAAGCGATAGCCCAAAATGAACCATGGGAGAGCAGGACCAAATGAGGGTCACTGTCACTGTGGAAAGGCAAAAGGAATTGGCTGGGACCTGGATTGTCCCCTTGGAGATGCTGGTTGCTGGGATTTAGAGAATGCCCTGCCTTAGACTGCCGAGATCTCTCAGTGCAGCGGCTTTCGCTGACATGGCAGCACAAAGATTGTTCTCTGCATGGGGCCAGGGTTTGGATGCCGGGATCAGCTTTGCAGGTTTAGATGAATTCTACCTACAGCCCGCAGTTCCACACGGAATTCCTGCTGGAATAGCCTCCCAGTGCCTCACGGAGCCCGGATCTTCCCCTGCAGAGCTGCCGCTTCAGCGCCAGGTTTGCCAGGAAGCAGCCAAGGGTCCAGATGTGCTCAGCGGGATCAGGACAAGGATAAGTTGATATTGCACGGAATTTGTTGTTTATAACCCTCCTCCCCCAGCCCCACTGGTGTCCCTGGGGGGCAGTCAAGCAAGTTCCCTGGAATTGAGCCGATTCTCCCCCCGGGCCGGGCTCCAGGGGTGTGTTCCCCCAGAAGAAGGCGGTGGCCGGATGCGCTCCCGGCATGGGCTAAGGCAGCCTCTGCTCTCGGTGCCGGAAGCTGCTGTCACTTCTGAGCCTCAGGAGCGGCCCTTGCAAGTTCCTTTCCCATGCAGATGCAGCTGGAGGCCAACGCGGACACGTCGGCAGAGGAGGAGAGCTTTGGGCCACAGCTCATATCCAGGCTGGAGGTAGGAGAGCACTTGCCTCTGGAGTGTTTTCCTGAGATCTGCTGGTCTTTTTCATAGAATCCCAGACTGGTTTGGGTTGGGAGGGATTTTAAAGCCCCTCCAGTACCACCCCCTCTCATGGGCACGGACATCTTCCACTATCCCAGGTTGCTCCAAGCCCCATCCAACCTGGCCTCAGACACTTCCAGGGATCCAGGGGCAGCCACAGCTTCTCTGGACAACCTGTGCCAGGGCCTCCCCACCCTCACAGGGAAGAATTCCTTCCCAATATCCCGCGTAAACCTTTTTCTTTAAAGCAAAGTGTATCTCAAAACTCTTGCCAAATTCTTACTTGTGTTCTGTCAAAAAAACCCCACCCAACAATCCAAAATAATCAAAATGTGTCCCTTTTTGCCCCCTCCCTCCCAGCAATGTGGTATAAATGCCAACGATGTGAAGAAGCTGGAAGAGGCTGGATTTCACACCGTGGAGGCCGTGGCTTATGCACCAAAGAAGGAGCTGCTGAACATCAAAGGCATCAGCGAAGCCAAAGCTGACAAAATCCTGGTAAGGATGTTATGGAACATTGACCCAAGATATTCCACAAGCTTCTTTCTGCTGACTTGAAGAGTTCTGGTGGATTTGGAAGTCTCCAAAGGGCAGTAAAGGTGGTTAGAGGTGTGACATGGCTTCTGACAAGAAGGGACAAAACCCACCAGGGCAGAACTGAACT